ATCAAAAGCTTGACAATAAATTCTGATGGTGAGGTTATAGAGAAATAGGCAGCCTCACACATTGTTGGCAGAAATACAAAACAGTGCAACCTCTACGGAAGGGAATTTGGCAATACTTAAGAAAACTGCATATGCACTTAACATTTTACCCAGCAATCCCAACTTCTAGGAACTTACTCTGAAGACAGACTTCCAAATATATGAAAATACTAACACACGAGGTTAATACTGCATTACTTGTATAATTGTAAATATTGGAACTACTTAAATACCCAAATATAGGGGAGTGATAGAATTAAACTATGGTATTTAAACTCAATGTAACACTCTACAGCTATGAAAAAGATGAAGATCTTTATAAAATTATATGGAATAATTTCCAGGACATATTATTCAGAGGGGAAAAAAGTACATACATAGCATACAACTTTTTGTATAAGAAAAAGGGGCAAATTAAAAAATACACAAATCCACTTTATCGAAAAGAAATGCAGAAAGGAAATAAGAATGGAATTGTTTACCTACAATGAGTGGAACAGAAAGGAGTGAAATGGATACTCCTAGGGAAGGGAGTAAGACTTGAGTACACATTTTGAATAGTTTAGACTTTTGGAAGCATGTTAATGTTCCATATATTTGAAAAGTTAAATTAAATCCTGGACTAGAGGGGAAAAACATGCTGGGTCAGGAAATTCTTGGGACAACTCACAAAATTGAAATATGGATTGTTGGTTAAAGTATTAAATCAATGTTATATTTTCTGAAATTGGTGACTATACTGTGGTTATGTAAGAAAATATCCTTTTACCTTGGGAATATACACTGAAGTGTTAAGGGGTAAAGGCACATTACCCCTTGCAATCTGCTCTCAGAAGATTGAAAAAAAATTATATAAATGTGTGCATATTCATGTTTGTATATGAATATTTAAGTATGTAACAAACATTTATAGAGAGAAAAATTTTTTAAATGACAAAATGTTAAAAATTGGTGAACCTGAGTAAAAGGTAAAAAGTTCTATTCTTCTTGCAAATTTTCCATAAATTCAATATTATTTCAAAATTAAAACTTACAAAACACGACCTGGTTTTAAAGCACTACTAAAAACTCGGAAATCAAGACTGGGATGATAAACCTTTGGGGGCTTTTAGGCATGCCTATGATGGATGGATTAATTTCAGTGTTTATGGTAAGACATTTAAATGAATGTAAAATGGATGCCTTTATTTGACGAGTCCTATTTCCAGACTATCAAAGAATAACAGAAATGCAGTTCCGCCTCTAGCAAAATTTGATCAAAGTCCAGATACACCCCATAATCAGTTCAAATACACTAATAGGTAGATTGGAATTACATTCATAAGTTTATAGTGGAGAAAATACTGATTTTTAAATATAATAAACGCGAAACCCTTGAAATTAAACAGGCAGTGCAGTGTGACCAAGGGTACTTACACGCTAGTGCTGGGTATCCGCACATGAGTCGTCAGGGCTCACAGTGTGGCTCTGAGAGGCAGAAGAGCGTGGCCTGGGCCAACCAGCCTGAAGTCCGCTGCAGCTTCTCTCAGCTAATCAACTATTATGTACTATGTGCAATCCCTGGCCAAGAGCCCTTTGAAAATCACTTTACCACTTTTGATGTCAAGGCACACTGATTAAAGATTCTTTTATTTGACCCAAATTGAGAGATAACATTTAAATTACACATTGGAAAGCAGTGCAATTATCCCTCAAAACAGATAATGATGGCTTAATTAAAAGAGGCTGACAAAGCACATGTGGAAAAACCAAGATAACAAGGTAAGTACCAAGGTGAACATACATCTTGATGGGGGACTAAAATATTTGACTATACAATTTGGGGTTCTAATTCAACAATTTTTGTTAAAGTAATTGGAGAAATACGTACCTAATTAGGTACGTATTCAGAGGTTATGCCTGGGGAGAGGATTACAGAGAAATATACACATTTTGGTACATATTTCAATGTCTGAATTTTTAAGAATAAATACGCATTGCCTTTACAATTTAAAAACTACTAAAATCAGATCTAGTGATCAGTCACAGTAAAGATATACAAATATGCATGGCAATACCAAGCTATGTGAACTGGCTTTACAGAGATCAACCTAAATTTCTAGTATTTTCAGACCTAGCTAATAAACATTAAGTTCAGAAATACTAAAAGGGAATGAAATAAGCAAATGATGTGGACATTTTTCATTCCAGAATATGGAAGCTCTTTGGACTCAAAAAACCAAATCTTTATTCTATAAAACTTTTATAACAATCTTAACAGTAGTTAGCTTTAAAAAGCCACAAAATACTATGAATTAAATGTATGACAGACACAATAAAGGACATCAGATTACATTGGGGGAAAGTTGTTTTTAAATATAGTACATTTTTCAAGAGAAAAATTTTACAGTGAGAGACTTTTTAATTCACTTTTTCTAATAAAGGGTTTTTCTCTTTGTTTATTAAAACATAAAACATTTTCTTCTTGAACCTTTATATGTAAAATTTATCAAATTGGCAATTTCCTTAGTAACAGGCTGAGCCAGGTGAAATATGTAAAGTAATTTACGTATAAGATTAGAAGGCTAATTCTGGTATTACTGCATAGGTTTAGTATTATTGCATAGGTTCCAAATTCACTGCAAAACCACACTACGGTCTTAATTTTAGATTTGCAGTTGCATCCTCCTCTCTGCTATCTAATGGTGGAAGGACCACCTTGTGGCAAAAATAAGAGCTTCTGAATTCCAGAGCTCAAGATGGTTACTCAGAGAGGAGAGAACTCGGTGGGCTTCTGGGGCACTAGCGATGTTCTATTTTCTGACCTGTATAGAGATGCCATGAGTGCTCACTTCATAATTATTTGTTAAACCACACGACTTTTTTGTTATTGTATTTTGCAATAATAAAGTTTAGGAAAAAAATGTACCTGAATTAAAAGCCATATGCCTAAATGCTTGAATTTTCAAGGCACCAGTTATACTTCCTAGAATTACAATGCATTCTTAACCTTGTAAACGCACTACTGTATTTTTATGATAGGAAACAAAACACGAGGAAAGAGATATATTCTTTGGTAAATGATGGAAGGATTGCTTCCTCAGAATGTTTTCATCGCTGCTCTCTCTCAGCCCCCAAGAGCAACTGCAGGTGCTCTGCCATCATCTGCAATCACCTCCACACCTGTACCAACATGTCTGAAATCTGCCCCCAAACCCTAGATTTAACTGCATCAGTACAGAATATCAAGGACACATGGCATATTTAACTACACACAATATTCAATCAAAAAGGTTTTTCTTTCACGTTTTATTTACTGTATTTCCAGGAAGTGGCACCCACTAACTATTCACAAAATGACTTGAATCCGTTAAGAAAATTTCACCTCTCCAACTGCTGTGGAATCCCTTTTCCTGGGGCTAACTGCATCGCATTTAGTACCTCTTTCATACCGTAGAGCAATTTTTATAAAGGCAGAAAGCCTTTTTTTTCTCAGGAACCTGTCAGGATGCTTTAGTGACCATCTCCTTCACCATGACCCTCACTCAAGCACATCCCAGCGGCAGATGAGAAGAGCCATTAGCTGATGCTGCCCTATGCAAGGGTAGCACTGCATCGCCCAGACTGCCACCCAAACTAGCGTCCATTCCACCAGGGAAGGCCACTCTCACTCCTGATTTCATCTCTGCTTCATTCAAACACTGGGACTATTACAGATGTGGGCATATGTGCCTGAGAATATTTCACAGCACAATGCCTTCCGTTGAGTTAATGCTACCTGCTAAAATAATCCTTATGCTTAAGTTAGGCAGAGAAAATATTTTTAAGGAAACTCATTAGAATGTTATGTAGCAATTCTTGACTTAGGCCATTTCAAATGGCTGTTAATAGAGAGGCAGCCAGTATGCCGGTGTCTGACAGATGCCAGATATGACTATGCCAAGAATCATGGATGTTGCTCAGCCAAGTGTTTGTTTTTACATATGAAGGAATGTCAGGCTGTCGTACCACCAAGATCTATAATTTCCTTAAGGAATCTTTAAATATAGATAGATAGAAAGAAGGAATAGACAGAAAGAAGGAATACTCTCAGGGGTCTTTTAACAGAGTCTTAAAATGGAAAATGGGATTATTGAACTTAAATCTGAAGAGGACCAATTCTTATGTCCCCCTGAACACAAGTAAGAAAATATAAACTTAACATGAGCTGCTTCACTAAGATTTCTGGATTGGCCATGCCTAACGTTAAGATAAAATTCTACTAATGAGAAATCTTGGCATTGATATTACACAGAAGATATATTTGAATATTTTAATCTAACATAACCATAAAGTTAGACTTAATCACTCTATCTAAAAAAGTTCTTCAACATTTTCTAAGAAAGATATAGTTAAAAAAAAGTTTTTTTTAACCCTTTTCCTCCTAGAAATAGATGAGACAGAGACAGAAAGAGAGAGAGAACTATGAATAATGGAGAACAATGGAGAAAGTTATTACCAGTGAATGGGAACATAATCTTTAAAACCTTTGCTACAACTAGAATCAAAAACTCAACAATTCTGGGGGCCAGCCCTGTGGCTTAGCAGTTAAGTGCGCGCGCTCCGATACTGGCGGCCCGGGTTCGGATCCCGGGCACGCACCAACGCACTGCTTGTCCAGTCATGCTGAGGCAGCGTCCCACATACAGCAACTAGAAGGATGTGCAACTATGACATACAACTATCTACTGGGGCTTTGGGGAGAAAAAGGGAAAAAACAAGGAGGAGGATTGGCAATAGATATTAGCTCAGGGCCAGTCTTCCTCAGCAAAAAGAGGAGGATTGGCATGGATGTTAGCTCAGGGCTGATCCTCCTCATACACAAAAAAAAACCTCAACAATTCTGACAGGCTATCTGTTTTTTAATACAAACATATCTTGTTTTTCAAAGCATAAAGTACATCTAATCATTCAAAGTCTCAGTGACTGAGACTGTCTTGTCACAAGCATTAAAAAATGAGCATAGTAACAAACAGCGAGCTTAGGCACAGTTTCACATGGTGGATTGTTTTACCTTCAGGAAATCCAGAATCTCTACAAGTTATTAAAACTATAAAGAGGTCAAATTTTACAATGTCCTCTCCTCAACTTCGGCTAAATGTAACCACATTAAAATACCTACATGGTCTTTGATCATGAAGCAGAAACATATAATGATAGATTTCTTTTAATCCTTACTCAAGAACGATATTTAAACAAAGCCCTCATTCAGGAAGACATACACTAATGCACGTCAGAAAAATAACGTTCTAAATTTTATAGAGCATCCCCAGGTAATGTTAACAACCAGATTAAAAAATAAGGCAAACCAAAGCTATTCTACATGTCCTTGAGCTGGGAAGTTTCTCAAGGAAAGGAGTCATGTCTCAGAAATATATTCAAAAATATAAATTCTTATGCATTAGTTTCTTTGTTAAGTCTCTTTCAAATTCTTCAGTTAACAGCAATACTTTAAAAATCTTCAACTGTTAACTCTTAGCTTGCAATGTTTTGATTTTTCCTGAATCTTGAAAACTTCCAAGTGCCATTAAACATATTATCTCCTGTTTCTTCTCACAGAACTAATGTTCATAAAAGGATCATCATCGTCCTGAAATGACATACAAATGTCATGTTAGTGATTGTATCACACTTCACTGAGACAAGACAGAAGTTCTTACGGACAAAACAATACCAGTAAGAGTCATTTTCTCCTTTCACATGACGCAGACTTTCATTTTTCTATTTCCTTTATAAATATGAATAGTTTGTCAATTATCTTTTCTCTTCCTCCCTTCCTTAGTAGCTATTTGACTGCTGAATAAAGAAGTCCAATTAAATTCTTAGCAAGCATTAAAAATAATTTATTCTGATATATATATATATGTATGTATATATAGTTAGCATATACATTTCTCTCAACTATTAACCTTAATAAAGGCAAACAAGGTATGGGTAAGCCAGAAAAATTAATACTATTCAAGCTATTTCTATTTGGTTTTTGAATAGATTTTTTTCATTTATATCTTACTACTGGTGTATATGATGTTCTGGAAACTCACAGTCAAAAACATAATGAAGCCACATGACCAAACTCAGAAATAGCTGTAATTTTTACTTCCCATTACCCATTTAATGTCAGGAATAGACAACTACTCTCAGACTGATGGAAGCAACAACCTACCGAAGCAATCTTTCAAATTTCGGGAGAAAAAGAAGTAGATGGAATATTTCAATTTCAAAGAGTTCTCATGCTGCTGGGCTGTAGATTATATGTATAGTTAGAACAGAGAGGAACATCAGCTATTAACTGAGAATTAAAGAGAATAAAGACTAACAAATTTCAGATAAGCCCAAGTTACATAATTTCATGAAGATAACATAAAATTGATTCTTATGTATTCTTTAAATATTCAGAAGATAAAGCAAATTTGCAAATTTTTGATTTATGTTTAAGACATTAATAAAAAGGAATAATTATTTGGTGCTAAGCTCTGTTGGTGGTCTTATATTCAAATGTTAGCTAAGTTAGCTATCTCTGGTGAGAAATGGATGCCTTGAGAAATACAAATTCACTTTCATTTATTAATTCATTTTCTGCTACTATTAAAGGCAGAACTTGTTAATAAACCAGAGATAAATCCAAATTGAAGTCTAATAGAGAATCTGCTAACAGTTCTTCTTTGCAGTTAACATGAACTATATAAAATTTTTAACTTTAATGTATACCTACACGTACATCTATATGCTTTGGAATTAACCAACAAGTCAACAACTGCTCGCTTCCCTCCCAGAGGCAACATGTTATTATTTAACGGGTAGGTTGAGTTCATGCCGTCATTTTTCTCTGCAGCCTGAATTCTGATGAGTCCTCTCCTCAAGCTGTTTCAAAGCCACAGCTGGGATACAGGGAATATGACAGCAGCAGTCAAAGCTCAAAATGAAAGGTATGAGTCACATGCTACAACAGGGATGAACCTGGAGGACATTATGCTAAGTGAAATAAGCCAGTCACAAAAAGACAAATACTGTATGATTCCACTTACAGCAGACATCTAAAGTAGTCAAATTCATAGAAACAGAAAGTAGAATGGTGGTTACCAGGGGCTGGGGGGAAGGGGAAATGGGGAGTTGTTGCTCAATGGGTGTAGATTTTCAGTTTTGGAAGATGAAAAAGTTCTGGGCATCTGTTGCATTACAAGGTGAATACACTTAACACTAGTGAACTGTACACTTAAAGTGGTTAAGAGGGTATGTTTTATGTCATGTGTTTTTACCACGATTAAAAATTTGAAAAAATAAAAATACATAAATGAAAAGGGTGATAGGCTTAAGAGAAACACCTTAAAGCGATTCAACCAAAGCTAGCGAAGGCCCCTCAAATGGCCACCATAGAGGAAAGAGAAAGGCCAGGCTTTCATCCAACTTAGCTGAAACAACAAATGAAGCAAGATAAGAGGCAAGGCCTGATTCTACCTCTTCCCATTCCTTCTCGTTCAAGTTAGAAGAGATTTTATAGTTTTCTGGTCCAGATAACCGTCCTGAATTGGAGTTGCTTTCATACATACTGCCACACATCTTATATATGAAAGGTGTGCAGCATATAGTGGATACTTCACAAATATTCTATTAAAGTAACATTAAAAGCTTTTAGGATGTCATCATCCATCATTTCTCCAAATATATACGACAGGAGGTGAAAAAACTATTATGATCCTACTGTTACCTGGGCAAATTAAGAGCTGAGTGAATATCATATTTTAAAAATCTGCAAGCCTTTTATATCTGAGGTATTTACATTGATGGGCACTCAACTTATGCTACCTATTGACTCTTAACATTAACTATGGTTCAAAGGAAGGTTATCAATGAAATTTTTTAAAAAATTACTTCTAGCAACTAGCTTAGCAGTCCTTATTTAAATTTTATAAACGGCTAAAAATTAAGATTTAACAATATTACTTTATTACCTCGTCTGACTCAAAATCGACCCCCTTAGCTGTTTGGCTCTGGGACATGCGTTTGTTCGATGACGATGTGCCTGACCACCTGAGGCAAAAACATGGAGAAAACACAGAAAATGAATGAAAGAATTCATCAAAAGTGCCTTTCCAGCTAAGTTGTTCATTCTAGTAGTGGCCATGAATAAAAATCACTAATACATTCCCTTCAATCTACATTAGCAGCAGTAAAAACCTGATGAGGAAAAGGACTCTGGGGCCAGCGTTTGAATTCCAGTTTTGTCATTTACTAGCTATGTGGCTTTAGGCAAGTTACCTAGCCTCTCTGTGCCTCAACTTCTTCATCTGTAAAACGAGGATAATAATTTTTTAAACATTTGTTGTGTTAATATACTTAAATACTTAGATCAATGGCTGACATATTAAGCACTACACCGATGATTACTTACATTATTATTATAGCTCTTAGCATATATTAACATGTATCTACTACCATCCCCCACTCTTGAAAATTGTGGCAACACCGAAATATTTTTAATTCAAATCTCAGTTATGTTTCCGCAATAGGACAAAAGGATCTTAGGAAAGGCTCACTGCTTTCTAGGGTTGCCTCACCGTTTGTGTTATCTGTGTTCAATCCAAATCAAATAGCAAATATTTACTGAATGCCTGCTCTTTGCCAGGTACTATGATAGGCCCTGGGAAACATCAGTGAACAAGAAAAGCATGACTCCTACCCTCATGAAGCTTAACTTGTGGTAATGGAACTCATATTCCTATGTCTTTTTATGACTAAGAATTTTAAGTCATCTTAGATCAGGGCCAGCAAACTAGGGCCAGTGGGCCATATTCAGCCTGCCTGTTTCTAACGGCCTATGAGCTAAGAATGGTTTTCACATTTTGAAATGGGTACATTTAAATGGTTATATAAGTACCTACATAATATCCTCAGTTTTGCCTCTTGGTCTGCAAAGCCCAAAATATTTACTATCTGGCCCTTTAAGAAGTTTGCTGACTCATGCTGTGAATGAAAGCAGTGTTTGTGAATTTTTAGCCAACAATTTATTACCATGATTTGGGATGCTATTATAGCAAGAGAAATATATCTGAAGGTCTTGTCTGGACAAACAAATTGAGCATCAAGAGGTCTTGTGTCAGAAGGAAACAGAAAAATCCACAGATTCTTATCCACAAAAGTAAAGGATAGGAGGATTTATCGAGCAAACTTGAAAGGCAACATAGCTTTAGAGGTAGAGGATCAAAGAGTTTATCAACTGATCCGTCTGGGGAGTCCTCGTCTCTGTACTTGACCTAAGCAGGAACTGGCCAAGTGTTGACTTGTTTCCATCTGTGACAGGAAGAAGCAGATCATCAGGAGCATAAAGCCACAGTGCCAAGGTGACAGTTAGGTTAATGCGTTGTTGTTGGGGAGCCGGGGGAAGCGGGCTGGGGGGTTATGCAACGAAACACCCTTTGAGATCTGACTCGGCTTTCTCATGTCTCCCTAGACAAAGTGATTTGTCCAGTGGGGCCCAGAAACAAGCCAGCCATCTGTGACGGATGTTGGCCCGTTTGATGACAGCAAGAGCTCTAATTCTGCATCAGAGGACCCCACGGACCTAGAGATCTCATCTGTGAGAGGTGCCCTATCCTTAGACATCAATGGTAGGAAAGGAAAGAAATGGTTATACTGTTTTGACTGCTGGGTCAAATAAATGGGCTTTCATCCTGGATGTCAAAAAGTGTTACATTTGATTAGCTTTATGTACATGGCTCAAAAATAAGGGGAGAGAATGTATCAAATTGAGCTCCAGGAGCTGTAAGTTTTCTTCATTTTTGTTCAGATATAATTTGGGGCCATAAATTAGAATTCTCATCTAGAGATGTTCAGCGAATATGTCAGTTGTAGCAGTGTTATAAGCATAAGATAACATGTTAAATCGGCCTGTGCTGTGCCCGGCACATAAAAGGTGCCCCCAAAATATTAGTTCCCTGCTTTGCAAGGTTTAATAGAATCCCCTCAACCTCTCCTCCTCCACCTGGCCCGATGGAGCCGGGTCTTCTCTCGCTTGCTGCTTTAAGGTGATGGTGGTTATTACCTGCCAGCTCTATCAAATCTGGAAGGGTCCTCTTATTCTCAGTACAATGAGGGTAGAGTTTGGAACAATTTTTCCAGGGAAATATAGGCTTTCCATTGCTCATCTGGCAGAAGGGAGTTCTACAGCTGCAAGTTATTTCCTTCTTAAACTTAACTGCCAGGAATATGAGTGCTTTTATTGCTTACCATTCTTCTTATTATTCTTGCTCTATTTCCCTAGCCTGTTATTTAGTTTATTTAATAAGCATTTATACAGGCACTATGTGCCCAGTACTGTACTTAGCACTTTACATACCTTAACTCACTTAAGCCTCATCACTCAACCCTCTGAAGTAAATATTATCTTCATTTTACAAATGAGGACACTGAAGCACAGAGAAGTCAAAAAGCTTGCACATGGTCCACACCTAGTAAGTGCCAGAGCTTAAATACTTTAAATTACAAGTGAAATAACCAGACAAACCATGCCATTACTAAAAAATTCTTCAAAAGCAGCCTGAATTGTGTCATTCAGTTGCTGTCATCAGAAACATAAATATGCCAAGGCTGATTTCAGATTTATTGCCAAAATGTTAATTTCTAAATTGCTTCTCATCATTTAAATGATCCTTATTGTTTGCACAATGGTCTGAGAGCTTAATCTATTATGTTAAGAAGCAAGTTCTGGACCAGAATGCCCGGCTATGTGACTAGTTGGGTGACCTTAGGTAAGTTACTTAGCCTACCGTGCCTCACTATAGGGATAATATAGTTATAACTGCATCTACCCCCTGGGGTGGTTGTGAGTGCCAAACACGCTAATTCATATATAAAGCCTCAGAACAGTGCCTGACACACAGGAAGTGCTAACAATTCAGTTATTATCATTATTACCTCATGAGTAAATAAGAAGTCAACAGACATTTATTCCACTGAAAAAAAGACAACCCAAAATGGTAACAAAATCAAGATAATTTTTCTTTACTACCCCTAAATATATGTCAAACATACTAAAATAGTGTTTTCATTAGTTCCAATAATGAAAAATAAGGACCCCATGCAAGCTAAACTTCTATATTCCTCGCAACTATTGATTCACTACTGAAAAAAAAAACCCAGAAAGCTAGACCTGTTTTTGTTTGAGTGCATTTTAATTTACAAAGACGAGAACACCAAACATGTACTTAGAAAGGGACTCTCTTCCTTCGATGGACTGAGAGATCCTGATATTACCCCAATAAATCTCCTTTTCCCTAAGCAAATTTGAGTTAGGTTTCTATCAGCTGGAACCAAAAGAGTCCGGTTTAATACATGTAACTCAAGCTTGATAATTTAAGGACATCCTCATATAAGCTAACTACCTCAGTTATCCTCAACTACCCACCACAGATATACAAGTTGAACCGCATCTGAGCCCATCCTGTTATTTTTCACTCCTTCTACAAAGGCTAGCACTGGCTTTGGCAACTCTATCCTCCCCTGGCCTTTTCTCATGTCTTTCTTGTTGCTTTTTCTACTTTACCTAAGCTCTAAAGACTGAAATCGCAGGACTGGAACACAAGCCCTCTTTTCTCTCTACCTTCTCTTTCAAGGCGATGGATCCATTCCAATGGCTTTAAGTATCAGTTATATGCTGCTGAGGAGTAAATTTAGGTATCATTCTCAACCTCTTATCTGAGCTCTGGACTCATATAGCCAATCACCTATAACCTCTTTTCATGTAAATTTCACAGGCATCTCAAACTTTCCATGTCTAAAGCAGAACTTTTGGTTATCTGCCTATCGTCACCCACAGAAATCCATTTCTCTTCTTTTACACCTTTCTCAGAGTACAGCACTATCTAAGTGCTCACGCAGGAAACCTAGAAATCAGCCATGATTCCTCATTCTCCCTCACTCCAAATATTCACTTCATCCTCATCTTCCGTCATGTCTACCTCAAAATATATCCTGAAACCGTCTATTCTTTCCATTTCCCCTGCAGCCACTCTGGTGCAGGCCTCCATCACCTCTTCCCTGGACTTCCTACAGCACCCTCTTTTCACATCAGCCTGTTTGCTCTCCTGTCCTCCTGCACAGTGATCCTTTATAAATGTAAATCAGATGGTGCCACTGCTCTCTCAAAATCCTTCCCTGAATTTATAATAAAGTCCAAATTCCTCACCCCACTCACCTGTTCCTGCTTCATGATGTACTCCTGCCTGTCTTTTCTATTCTCATCTCAAACCACTTCCTTTCCACCATGCTTTAGTCACTGGCTCCTAAATAAGGAGCTTGTTTCTTAGTAAGCTTGTTTCTTCTTCGAGAGACTTGGCATATGCTTTTCCCTCTGCTTTCTGCAAAGCCAAGTTTCTCTCAGTAAAATTTCAGCTTAAAGGTAACCTCCCCAGAGGCCTTCCCTGATCACCCTTTTAAGCAGATATCTGTGGCCTGTGACACTCCTCTGTTTTGCTGCACCCTGATGATTTCCTTCAAGTCTTCTTACATATCTGTTGATCATCAGCTCAAACGTTATCTACCTTCTTTGTAAAACCAATGATCTATCCTGGGAAGATACTGCAACTTCCCTTAGATTTCATTACACTTGAATAAAACACTTATCTTGGTGGATTATTAGTGCCCTGTCATTAGCCTACCACAAAGAGTAAATTCCTGGAAGGAAGGAGACATTTCTTTCATATTTCTATCCCCAGCTCCTAGCATAATGTTTAACCGAATAAATAAGTGGATGTGGAACTATACTTGCCAAATTTTCCAACACAGACCCTTAATTCACATAAAGTACATATTCTGAATGGGGTCAGTACTATACCCAAGGAATGAAAATTGGTTCCAGGGGATGGGGTGGGTGAAAACTTTTAGATATTATAAAGGTTTTTGGCCCTCCCAAGCTCAATCCTACCCAACAAAACTTCATTCTTTAGTATTTAATCTCTCTTGTTAGGGAGAAATTAAATTTAAGTTATTTTAATTAAACTAAATCAAGTTTAATTTTTAGCCTTAGGTAATGAAAAAAAGGTTGAGATCATGAAAAAACTTTGAGAAACACTGAGGGAGAGCCTTTTCCTCAATATCCTCCCTATTTTATAACTCCTGTTCATCTCATTACTCTCGCCTCTCATTCTCCACCCCACTGATCCAAATAATGCCTATCTTTAAAACTGCAGGTAAATTGTACTCCCTCTATAAAGCTCTTTCTTCTGATAGCCCACACTTCTTGCTCCTTTTTCTGAGGGCCTATAAGCACTCATACCTAGTCTGTACCATAAAATTTCACACATAATTATGTACTGATTCAATCATCCCTTAAGAGATTCAAATGTGTTCCTCTCTCTCTTCCACTACATTTTATGTTGCCTGAAGGCAGTAACCATATTAAAACATTCATTATGTCCCCAATCAGACCTAATATAATGCTCATACAGAAAATAAGTATATAAAAAAACTGTTGATTATTTATTTCCTTAAGTAGAAATTTTCATTAACTGAGCTTTAGTTAAGCAGTGTTCACCTAAAATGTTAGCACATAGAAGAAAATGGTAATAGTGAATCAAGTCAAACCTTACAGTAATAGACCAAAACCAAAAAGGGCAGGAAAGGCATAAAAGTGTTCTGAAGGCAGAGAAAGTCTACATGACCCTCTTTTTAGTGTTTAGCACAGCATCCTATGTAATTTAGTACATAAAAATATGATGATGAAGAGAAGCTGAAATCAAGTATTAACAAAACACAAAACTATCTTCTGTTAATTGGAGAGAACACAGTACTCTATGAAGAAAATCACTGGGTAATAAAGATAAAAGGAAATGAATTACAGGTTACTTAAATTTTCAATGAAAATACTTGTGATAATGCTGCATCGACTCTATGAACTAGTCCTTGGTCGATTTTTCACTTCTCTACATACTTGACTAGCTGAAAATAACTCTATTAAACTTCTATGGCATAGAAAAATGTATAAGTAGAATTCTGGATAACTTTGAATCTTTTCAGATGTTTCTTTTTGCAGGAAGTCACTGTACTTACCTTGGATCTGTTTTTGAAGTGGTAGGAAAAACATCTTCTTCCACATCTGACTCATCCACCTCAGTCACCTAAGGGGGTAAAGAACAAAACAGCAAAGAGCTTTTTGTGGGAATGGAACATTTGAAATAATAATGAATTAAAAAACTGAAACTCAAAGTTGTTGTGTTTTTTTTAACTATACAAAACGAAGTCGCAAAAAAGGAGGCAGAAACTGTGTAAGCAGCAGCTATCAAAACTAAAGCTCAGCCTGACCTCCCTCCAATGTCACTCTTCACTCACAAGGGGGTTCCCACACAACATGTGTGAGTTTACTTCTCTGCTGGCCACCCTGGCCGCCTGGGAAGCTCAAGCAACATGCAGTTAGATTGGAGAATGCCTCACAGAGTGTCACGTGCAGGCAGTGCCCTCTGGTTTTCTTGGGTTCTAATGAGAAGTTAGATCATCAGTGTTCCATCTCCAGTTTTAAATGAGGTCTAAGACCGTGTGGGAAGTACTGGATATTTATCTTTCTGTTACATTTATCCCTGTTAAATACCATTTGCTGGTTTCAAGCCACAGTAAAGATATTTGTGATTCTTGATTCTATCATCCAAAATGCTCCCTATTTCTCTACATTTTGTATTATCTTGACACTAAATACACACATTTGCTATGTCTTCCTCTAACTGATAAAGCCAAGGACAAAATACTGAAAAAACAGCATCTGAGACCTCCCCCTCCAGGCTAACAATGAACTATTCATTAATCAAAAGTCATTAACTGCAGTTGTCCAAGCAGCTATGAATCTAGCTAATATTCCTGCATTTTGTCCATAAAACTATCAGGAGGTGTCTTATGTGCCTTGAAGGAATCAAACACATTCAATATTCCCCTAATCTACCACGGAGTAAACTCAATCCAAAAACAAAAAAAAGTTAGTTTGGCATGACTTATTCTTTTTGAACTCATGTTCTTACCCGACGATAGAAAAATCTAGAAGGGAAGCTACTTGCAGACATGATGATAACTTTGTTTTCAGATATGATGATCTTGAAGCATTAGCAAACAACAGTTGATTAAAAATAATGAAACGGAGCTCAGTATAAAAGTTAGCACTGGTATACCCACATATAAATTGATAATAAGAAGAGAGGGAAAAAAAAGCAAAGATGAAGTTAAGAGTGATAAAAGAACAAGATTAGAATCAGGACAGAGAAGAAGAGAAGTTTTCTGGAAAGGGGGTGGGTCAATTGTGTCATGTACTCGAGAGATCAAGAAGAATAAAATTTGAGAAAAGACTGCCAGGGCAGTATGATATAGAGCAACAGTTCTCAACTGGGGGTGATTTTTAACCCTCACTCCCATCCTGGAAACATTTGGAAATGTCTGAAGACATTTTTGATTGTCATAAGTAGGGGCATATTACTGGCATCTAGTGGGTAGAGGCCATTATATTGCACAGGACAGCCCCTCACAACAAAGACTTATCTGGTCCAACATGTTGGACCTGCCACTGAGAAACCCTGATATAGAGGGAAGAGTACTGGCTTGGGAGTTAAGACACATGGGTTTTGAAAGTGAGGTAATAGGAGAGTCAAAGGAAGACTCTTCTTGGAATCCAAAGGATGAGTAGAAGGCTCTTCCTTTGTTATCTCTAGAGCTATGTTATATCTAGAGCTGAACACAGAGATCCTTAGACTCCAACCTCTCAGTTTGTCCTGAGTCTAGCTTCAGCCATTAAGGCACAAGCCAGAGTGTTATGAGAGTGTAAGTAACAAAAGGAAGCCAGGGATAAATAAAACCTCTATATGCACTAACCTCCCATCTTCCATATTAGTCTTCCATGCATGGACCCTTTGGTTTAACACCGTTATCCTTAAAAAGATTACTGGATACATACATTTAAGGATTTCTAATCATGTGATCCATAGTCAAAAAAAGAAAAATAAATCCTAGAAGCCCTTAGTCTAGATAATAAGTTCTCTCCAGCTTTAATGTTCCACACTTTTTCTTCTATTTACTTTGTAGATCAAAGAACTGACAATTCATAATCCAAAAAATATAAATTATTAAACACAACTATAAATCTTTTTTCTTACCTCTGAATAATTCTTAGTAGCAACATTTTGGGAGGGCTGCTGTCTTGTAGACTTAAACGCTATAATGAAAAAGATGAAACATCCATTATGTTATTCTTAAAATAACTTAGAAAAATTTGCACATTTCTTTAACTAAAGATTTTCTAAGTCTATATGCAAAAACCCATGATGACTAATTATAAAACCATTTATATATTTTTTTAAATCTGAATGGAGGTGGAATTATATGTTCAAATAAATCAAGGCCTACCTGCCAGTCTCATATGATTTCCTGGCTTATTCAAATATAGTAACAAGCAGTGTTCATAAATATACCTACTCTGAAAATATTTTATAGAAAAATACCTGAAGGATAAAATCTGATCACCTAATGGACTGAACTCCAAATAGATTGAAGGTAACCCTCCTAATGTCCCCCTTCTTATAGTTGGCAATACCTTCCCTGTTGCTATCTTAGGAGCCATAGGGCTCCAGTAAGGGCTTTCTTATTCTCCTTTACTTTGTTAACCACATTCAGTACCTAAGAAATAGTCCAGAGGGAAATTCTAGAAAACAGCTTATCTTTTATTCTATAAAACTTTCCTTTGAATTCTTACTTTTTTAGCTTTATAAACTTGGTTAGAAACATGAAGTTCAGTTAACTCTTTATTTTTCCCAAGACTGAAACTGCATTATTATGATTTTATAAGAAGAAGTATATATTTGGTCTTTGTTCCCATTAGTGCCACAGAGCTCCTAAAAATTTCCTAAGTGATGAGAGCCATAAAGGTGTCTTTTGTTATGTTAATGAGGTGACTTTGGACTGCATCCAAAGTCAGGGGGCTGGTTGCCAGGAGAACCAACCATGAATAGGGGGTTGGAACTTTCAGTCCCATCCCCTGATTTCTGGGGAGCGGGGAGGAACTGGAGGTTGAATCAGTTACCAATGGTCAATGATTTAATCTATCATGCCTATGTAATGAAGCTTTCATAAAAACCCAAAAGGAGGCAGGGGTTTGGAGAGCTTCCAGGTGGTGAACCAGAACGCTTCCACGTGCCACCGTGTTGGGCTCCAAATTCCATGAGGACAGAAACTCCTTTGTTCAAGACCTCCTCGCCCTATGTATCTCTTTATCTGGCTGCTGATTCATATCCTTTAATATCCTTTGTAATAAACCAGTAATCTAGTAAGTAAACCAGTTTCCTGAGTTTCATGAGCTGCCCTAGCAGATTAATCTAACCCAAGGAGGGGGTTGTAGGAACCTCTGATTTACGGCCAGTAGGTCAGAAGCACAGGTAACAATCTGGGTTTGCTACTGACATCTGAAGTGGAGAGGCCAGTCTTGTGGAACCGAGCCCTTTACCTGTGGAATCTGACACTACCTCTGAGTAGATACTGTCAGAATTCTGGTGGTGTGGGGAAACCTCCCGGCACACACACACATTGGAATTGGATGCAGAATATTAAAAACCTAGAATAAATTTCAAACAGTCAATTAGAGGTTTATTTTCTCCTAAGCCTTACTAGTTTCCTAATATAAAAAAATGTCTCCCTCAAGACAATCCCCAAACCGAACCACAGGGCAAGAGGAGAAAAAAAGACAAGGCTTGAAAAAGTCAAATGCTCAAAGAATCCCACAAAGTCCAAAATTCTCCTGGTCAGAAAACTCAGGCATCTTTCTACCTAGCCTAAATTTATGATTTGCTCATTTTCCTATCCCCAATCTTGTGATGTCTACCTGAGAGGAGAGATAAACGGCAGAGGCAGAGTTCTTATCCGCCCTACTCAATTATTGGCCTCACATCCTACTCTACTCAAAAGGCTAGACAGGGCAAGTGAATAAAAAAGCCAGTGATCATGACTCTTTCAAAGAATATTTCTGCTAAATAGTCATTCACTAATTGACTCCTCAAACTCTCAGACCCTTGAAAACAAGAGCCCTCCTTTCTTTTTATCCCCAGTGGATAACAAAAGAGGAGTAAATGTTTGTGAGATAATGTTATCAGAAAAACAAGGACTGGGTTTTGTTAGGAAGGCAGTACAGTACGGTGGTTAAGAGCTCTAGTTTTCGACTCATTTTGACTTACTAGCTGGTGTCTATGGCCAAGTTCCTTGGCTTAAGTCTCAGTTTCCTCACCTGTAATATAGTGTTAATAATATTTCTCGCAGAAATTCATTGAAAGGATAAAAAGAGGTACTCTAAATTGCTTTGGCAAGTGCCTAGAAGCAGCAGGTATTCAGATAATGTAGCCAGTAGTAGTAATAAACGTAATAGCGGCAGTGGTAGCCACGGTGGTAAATTAAATGCAAAGGCAGTGGCTTCAGAGGTGTCTTTTATTCACTTAATCACCATCCTCCACAGACAAACTTCAACGGAGAAATCTACGCTGTCAACTCTTATTTACAACCGCTGCTGGCTTTAAGTGTAATATCTACCTTTCTCAATAAAATTCCGGTACGACACCAAATCTCTGTACTCCATGGAGCTTGTTATAATAGAATTTGACCTTTATTTCTCTTCATTCCTTCATTTATCATAGGAATCTAGAAGTTATTCCTAAGTTGCTTTTGTCCCAAAGTTATGGTAGCTATAGTTAATACCCCATGGTTATTTTGTCAGAGATGTAAAAAACACCAAATCTAACCTGACAAAAATATTTTACTCATATGCATTAAAAAGTCAATTTCATTTTTCAGAAAAAGGCTCAGTGTTGGAGGTAATCAGTTAAATTGTAAAACCATTAAACCAGATCAATTCTATAAAAGATAAATTTAGACTAATTTATAAAACATCCATTTTCATAAGTTTATTGTAAATATTGCCACAAATACTAACAGCAGCAATCATTTATTAGATTCTTACTAAATGCTGTACTCAGTAATGTATATGCATAAATTCATTTAATACTTATAATTGCTCTGTGAAGTCAGTACTACACTGCCAATTTCAGGGATCTGAAGCTTAGAAAATAATAACAGTCTACACTTACTGGGGGCTTCATACGTATAGATACTGTGTCAGGTATTTCACATGCAGTTTCTCACTAATCCTCAAAATAACCCAATGAGGTGGATGCAATCATCACCCCATCTTACAGGTGAGGACACTGCAGCTTAGAGATAGAAAGCTCAACTAATCTGCTGGAGGACACACAGCTAGTAAATGAAGGAGTTAGAATTCAAATCAAGGTCTTTCTGACTTTAGAACCATGCTGTTAATCTTTATGCCATAGAATCTCTAAGTAATTTTTGTTCAATCATTCTCAAGTATTTAATGAGCACCTGCTATATGCCAGGCACTGTGGATACAATGATGAACAAAACAATGCAACTCCTGCTCCCTGGTGCTTTTAGTGCAAGGGCACCAAGCTGGCAGGTGAAGAGCTGGCTGACCATACAGGTCTGACTCTAGAGCCTGAGCTCTTAGTCACAACCATTGCAGCAAAAGGCACAATAAGATTTTTGCCTAGAAAATAATTTAGGAAATCTTGAGTTTCATATTAATTTGGTTTACTTACATAGCTTCTTCTTACAAATGAATACTATTACTTAAAAAAAAAAAGGTTAGTCATGCCAATTTGTGAACATTTTAAAGCACTATAACTGATCTCTCGTCTTCTCTGCACAATTAGAAGCTTTATTCCACAATATCAATAAGTAATAGAGCAGGAGTCATCAAAGAATGTCTTTGAAAGTCTCATTGGCACAGTGGTTCTAAAATGAACTGACATTAGAAAGTGAAAAAATGCTCACAAAGCTTCTATGAGACAGAGTTCTAGCTGCAAAGCAGGCAGTCACATATGAGTTTTAAATAAAGAAAATGAGGATCAAAACTCTGTATCTGTTCATTGTAGGCTAGATTATTCAGACAAACACTTCTGCTGAAAACAACTCAAATTGCTACATCAAAAATTGAAAAAAAAAATCTTAAGGGAACCGAAGAGCTGATCATATAGTAAGGAATTAACAGGCCAAAACTGAAGAAAAGCTAGAACTCAGAGAGGCTAGTATAGCAGTCTTTTTCCCTGAGGACACCTACTGATCTGGGCAAATGTTAACCCTGGTTGTGACAGTTCTGTAGAGGGAGGGAGAGAGCTGCTATAGCTCAAGTCCTTCCCAAGGCAGAGACCCTAAAGCATTTCCTCCCTGCCTTAAGCTGGGACCCCAATGGTGAAGGAGAGAAGCAGGCATAAACATTTTACAATTACATGTCACCTGGCTGGTCCTCAAGTCATAAATTTAAATTTAATCTAAAGTAGTCGAAGACTTGTGGTGCCCGAGAACCCTGGAGAAATAAATACAAATCTTCTGTGGAGGAAGACATCTTCACCCAAGATCTCAAATTATTCCTACTGATAATTTTGGGGAGACAACAGATAACAAAGCATGCAAGGAAACAAGTCGCCATAAATGAGAACCATCAGAAACAGATAACAGAAAGAGGTCACAGACATTCAGACACTGGGTTATTAAGACACAGAAGACAGGGGCCGGCCCCATGGCTTAGCAGTTTGGTGCGTGCACTCTGCTACCGGCGGCCCGGGTTCGGATGCCGGGCGCGCACCAACATACCGCTTGTCGGGCCACGCTGAGGCGGCATCCCACATACAGCAACTAGCAGGATGTGCAACTATAACATCAACTATCTACTGGGGCTTTGCGGAGAAAAGGGGAAAAAAAAGGAGGATTGGCTCAGGGCCAGTCTTCCTCAGCAAAAACAGGAGGGTTGGCATGGATGTTAGCTCAGGGCTGATCTTCCTCCAAAAAAAAAAAAAAAAAATTCAATGTACAGTTTTAAGAACAGATGAGTGAATTGGAAGACTGATCAAAAATAATTATTCAGAATGGGGCACAGTAAGATAAAACAACAGACAATACAAGAGAAGTGAAGAGTTATGGAAGGACAGATTGAAAAGGTCATACATTTATTTAATTGAAGACCCAGAAAGGAGGAGAAAAACAATAATGTAGAGGTAATGTCTGAAGGGATAACAGCTAAGGATTTTCTAGAAATGATGAAAGACACCAATTTATAGTTTTATGAAGCCCAATAAATCCTAACCAGGACAAAAAAGAATCCCATATCTACATTCATCATAGTGAAACTGCAGAACACCAAAAACAGACAGCTCGAGGAAAAACAGACTACTTAGAAAAAAAAAGTAACAAGCTTAACTAATAACTTATTTCTTAACAACAATGGAAATCTGAAGACTCACTTTAGGTAATTAATTCTGCCCACTGGTGTCAAGGAAAGCTTCACATAAAACAATTAAGCCATGATGAAAAAAGGCAGTTTGAGCTAAGGCAAAGGTGGGTAATTTATAACATCTGTGCCTCTGTGTTGCACGCTAACCAACTTTTGGTGGTTTAACGTGGAAGTGTTCATATTTTATTCGCTCTCCTTTTCTAACTCCCTGTTTTCTCTCCTCTTTTTAATAATAGCAATACTCCTAAATGCCTACTATGTGCCAGGCTTTTTGCTTTTAATCTTCAGAATAACCCAATATGGCAGGAATTATTATTCCCAATGTACATGTAAACAAACGAGGAGAGTGACTTGTCCAAATTCACAAAGCTTTTACCTGTTGACCTCAGCCTAGATCCTTTACCATACTGCCTTTTCTCTCTTTCTCTCTCCTTCTCTGCTTTTATCTTAGACCTGCCAAGAATGGAACAGCATCTTTCTGCATGCCATTTCCTAAATGGCAACAAAGACAACATGCTTCTGAAGTTAAAAGATAAGGATCTCAGCTGGCTCTCCTCAAGTACTGAATAATCGTTGAGTGAAAATATAGCAACAGAATTTTTGATAAGAAGATTCCTTAAGAGTCATTTAACGGGGGCTGGCCCCATGGCTTAGCGGTTAGGTGCACGTGCTCCACTACTGGTGGTCCGGGTTCGAATCCCGGTCGCACACCAACGCACCGCTTGTCCGGCCATGCTGAGGCGGCATCCCACATAGAGCAACTAGCAGGATGTGCAACTATGACATACAACTATCTACCGGGGCTTTGGGGAGAAAAAGGGAAAAAAAGAAGGAGGATTGGCAATAGATGTTAGCTCAGGGCCGGTCTTCCTCAGCAAAAACAGGAGGATTGGCATGGATGTTAGCTCAGGGCTGATCTTCCCCCCCCCCCCAAAAAAAGAGTCATTTAATGGATCTGACATTTTTTTATCCTTTCTCCAATGTCAGTTGTCATCCAATAAATGTTGAAAACTTCCTTTGATAGAGTCACAACTCACTTCCTTTTAAGGCAGCTTACTCCATCTTTATACTACTTAGATAGGTTATTCTGTATAATGCAAAGACCCCTCTACTGAGAACCAGTAGCTAGGTCTCCAATCTTACCTTGCTCTGGAAACTAGCACACTAATTAACTACTGGTTCTGGAATCCAGAAAATGTGGGATTGACCCAAGCTCTAGAATTTACTAGTTGTGAGACCTTAGATAAGTTGCCTGTGTTTTCAAAGCCTCAGTTTCCTTTTCTGTAAAACAAGGATAATTTAAGTATCTATGCTACAGAGCTGTTGAGAGGCATGCAGTAACTGTCTCATAAATATTAGCTATTATTAGTACTATTAGTGGTTTTCTCCACCTAGGGCAAAGTGCTTAGCTCAGTTCCTCATCTAAAAAATGAAGGAGTAGGCAAAGTTGTTCTTAAGTCTTTCAGGTCCATTCTATCAGATAATAAACTTAAATCTTATGCTGCTAGCTTTTCTCATCTATCCTCACTGGACTAGTAGTTTTTAATCAGAAGCCCATGGATGGGCTTCATAGAGGTCCCTAACTCTGAAATTGAGCACAATTGCATATGAGAACTTATTTAAAGAGAGGAGACATAGCTTTCATCAAATTCTTAAGAATCCATAACTCTAAACAGATTTAAAACCACTGCCTTTGGGACTATAGAGATCAAATCTATTCAACCTTTCACATGATAAAACTTATGTAAAGACTTGAATTTTTCTCAAGTTAGACATTCCAAGTTCTTTCTACTATTTTTTATATTATGTGGTTTCTCTTCTGAATGATCATACATAGTAGACATCCTTTTTGAAATACAGTTCCAAAGATGAGCACAGTATTCCTGGTGTCATGCATCTAATTCAGTTGAGAGGGAGCACTTCCTCGCATCACTGCTATTAATATTGCTTAAGACACCATTAGATTTGGACAGCTACGTCAACCTGCACAACTCTTAGTGACCTACGTCTGTTTTACTTGGGTTGCTGCTAATGTCACATACCTCTCACAGCTCTTTTTGTGCAGCTGTCCTTTTAGACATAAATGTAGTTTATATTTACTCTTGATAAATTTCATCTTGTAAGATCTAGTCTAACTCTTGAATCTGTCAAAAATTAATCCTAGCTATAAAAGTGAGTCAATAATTAAGCTCAAATAACAAAATAATGTAAATAAAATACATACGGATATACTTTGAATGTTGGGTAGAAAAAATATCCACCTATTTTAACATATATTCTTAAAAATCTGACTCACAACTTGGCCTGATCTCACAAACTTTTAATATTTTAAAATATTTTACTAAACTTTTATATTAAATTATTATTAAAAATAGTTTATAAAAATAGGTCCCCTTAGTTTAAGGCCAATTTTTATACTACAACACATACACAAAATTAATTCAAAGAATCCTAAACATAATTTCTCTTAGATACGGCTCACGTGACTTCTCTGTACTAACAGCAGAGGCGGACAACAGCAGCATGAGGAAAGAAAGTAAACAGTACATTAAGAAGTAGTTCCTTCTCTCTTGATCATTGGTGATTATATTCACCAACTGTCTCACTTTTCTATGCCTTAGTGATCCCTTTACAGAAGAGAAATAATCAAATTTGTCTAAAAGTAAGGAATTATAAAAAATAATTTTTAAGGCTCACCCTCTTCAGTAGCTCCAATGAATGGCAAAGATTTTTTAAAGAATAATTTATCCTTTGGTCCTAATAACCCTTTTAACTCCCCAGTAATGGCAACACAAACCAGTGAGGTTTACTAATGGGTTTTCCTAGGTCTTCCTATGTTGGAATTTATAAATAACTACTAGGTAATCATGTGCAGTCTATACTCACCATCTATAATAGACATGTTTCTAGATGTTGACATAGAGGCCTTTGAACTTCTGTTTCCAGTAGAAGTCTCTAGACTGGTGCCTGATGTTAGAATAAGCAGCAGTCAATATACAATCTCATCAGTAGCTAAGGTTTTTTTTTTAAAACAATACCAAAATGAAATTTAAATAAAGTTATGTCAAAACACAATTTACCTATAAAAAGCCAAAAAAGATACATAAGAAGAAACATCTAGAGTTTAATCAACCAATTTTCAGAGACTATACTTAGGCCATATTTGGTTCACATTTTCCAATTAAAATTTAAGGAAAAATTTTGTAAATGTAAGGATAATGAAAATAATTAGCACTAGAAGATGAGAATTTCTCTCCCTGGAGATTTTACCAGCTTAAAATTCCTATGGATAAATCTTTAATAAAAACAATTTAAAAATATTCCTATGAATGCATTTATATAATGCACCAGGAAGTCACTGGGTGACCATTTTCTGTTGTTTGAACTAGTCAATGAAAATAGTGTCACATTAAATACAATGAAGGCAATTACTATTAACGATTTTTTTAAGAAATCAAACTGTTTTGGGGTAATTTTTCTTTTCAAACAAATTTTATGAAGCCACTTTATAAGAACATTTGTATCTTATGAAAGCAACAAAAATAATAATTTTTTATTAATTATTATTATTAACAATAATCTAGTTTCCTTCCTACTGCCAATGGCCATTAACTAGCCATCTTCCCTAATAGCTCATATTCGCCTCACTGTTACTGTGTGTGTACATGTGAGAGCAAATACAACATTAAATGTACCCAAAAGATACTGTATGAGAAACATAGGAAGTTCTTAAAAAAATACGTGTTAAAAGCAACTAAAACCCTATGTGCACATGGCCATTCAAAATTTATTTCAGTAAAATGTACATGTCAGAACTACATTAAAGACTGAATTTCTGCATTATAAACATAAAAATGTAAAGAACTGTGTAATTTGATTCCAACAACAGGAATACAATTCTATATTTCCCACTCAACTACCACATCTGAATGTGCGCACAAGACCGTACTCAGTGCTAACCTCTTCCTCTCTGAGACCCTCTTCTCGATGCTGAATTCTGCCCTCTTCCTCCTCTTTGGCCTCTTCCTCGGCCTCTTCCTTTGTTGGCTGCTGCTGCGATGCTATCATCGGAGTCAACAGCCATCTGTTCTGCCAAATCTATACTCATAAGGTCATCAGCACCAAAGGCAGAAGCAAGGTCCTCTGCCTGAGATCTGAGGGCTCTGGCCCTAGTCATGGCCTGACGGGGAAAACAAGGAGAAAGTACACATTAGTAGATAATGCAGCATCCTAAAAGTTATTAATCCGGTCATTCAGATGAACATTTAATGCCATCAAATTGTCTATACTATTATTTTTCACTAATCATGCTATAAAAATGTAAAACAGGAAAACCCTCCTTCCCCAGCAATCAAATTCAATACCTATGATTTGTCAGATCAATTTAAAATACTACCTGTAAAATGAGACCTTTTGAAAAGGTTTACCAAGAAAAGATAAAATTTCACAGAATCAAAACTTGCAGAAATGGCAGGAATATTGGCAAGTACCCCTAATTCAACACCACCATTTGTAAGAGACTGTCATCATTTGAGCTACTTTGTACACTGAGCTCTTAATAAATCACAAGAAAAAACTTACAAAAATAGCTGTTGTCTCTGGGTGACAAAATTTTCAAGTGCTTTTGTTTTCTTCTTTATTCTACAATACAATTTTTCTAAAACATCACTTCTATAATCATAAAAACATGAGCAATAATCTCTTACAAATACATGATAAAAAGAATTAACAAGAATATATCAATTGAAGGCCTGGAAAACAATAAAAACCTTAGGACCAAGAATATGTCACAAATTTTAATTTGATAAGAAACTGTCTAGAAAAGACAAGTTTGAAACTTAGTGAAACGTTCTAACTCTGAAATAAATATAGATTTTCTAATTAAAATTAGAACAAAAGCAATGCTGCCCTAGTCTCTTCCCTTAAACCAATCAAAATGTAACGAGGAAAACAAAAATAAAACCCAATACATTTTCAATAAAATTAGAAAATAGCTCTAACCCCAAAACACAAAATCTATGAAGAAGAGTTAATGGATAGAGTGAATATTTGACCTGGCTAAGGGAGAAGGTTGAGAAGAGCGTCAGACAGTGGAGAGCTCTCCAGAAGTGATCTACAGATCCCAAGAGGGCATGACAACAGTCTCTCTTGCTTGTAATGACAAGTTCCGGGTATACGAATAGGCAGCTAGAACATTTCTAAGCTCTCTGTGATGCCATGAAATAAGGAGAGACAGGGCTAAATGAGGAGATGAGAACAAAGCAGACAGAGTAGAAGTAGGAGTGTAATGGGTGATGGGAGGTGGGGGGTAATCCAGCCTCACGGTGATGATCTTAGCTGAAATGAAGTAACAGCTAAATCACTACACGAAGGGCTCAACATGGCATTACAACACAAAAAGAAAAAACTCTAGGGAATACAACAAAAAATATAAAGAAAAAATAGTAGAAAAAGATTTCAATTCCTCTTTCTTGTCCCAGATGAAGTAAGGTCAATCCTCATTACTCTCCAATTCCGTATTTGCAGATTCACTGACTTGGCAAAATTTATTTGTAACCCCCAAAACAATACCCCTGATACTTTCGCGGTCATTCATGGACGTGTGCAGAGTGGTGAAAACTGAGTTGCCTGACACACACGTTCCCAGATGAGGCTGAACGGAGCAACACTCAGCCTTCTTGTTTCAGCTCTTATACTTTAAACAAGTGTCCTTTTCATAGTATAGTTAGTGTCACGTTTTTCACAATTTTGTGCTTTTGGTTGATGATTTTACTTTTAAAATGGCCCCCCAGTGTACTGCTGAAGTGCAAGACGGCTGTGACGTGCCTTTTAGAGGAAATACCCATGTTAGATAAGCTTTATTCAGGCATGAGTTACAGGGCTGGTGGCCATGAGTTCAAGGTTAATGAATCAACAATGTATGTTACATAAGGTGTCTTTAAACAAAACACACATGAAAAAGGTTATGTATTGATCAGTTGACAAAAATGTTGTAACCAGTGTCTGGCAAGAACCTAATCCTGTATTTCCCCTAGGAGTGATGGTTCAGTATTCACTAATTTAGTGTTTGCAGTGACTTTATAGAACATAACTACCATGAATAACAAGAACTAGCCTTACTTTTTGTTTTTTTAAAAAGTAGATTTAAAAGAAAAAAGGAGGCTTACATTACATAATTAATAAGATAGATCTAATTGATACAATGTTGAACTCTATACTCTGAAAATAAATAATATACTTCTTTTCAAGACCCCATGAAATGTTTTAACTCATACATAACGGGATGCTAAGAAAAATATCAATAAATTCTTAATAGTAAAAACAGTATCACCATACTATCTAATCAGCATGCAATAAAATTAGAAATTAATAACAATGAAATAAAAACCCTAACTCTAAATTGCAAACAAAACTAAAATTACAGAATATCTAGAAAATAATAACAAAAATACTGCATATCAAAATATATGAAACAAAGCAATGAATTAAATTATTAAAGCAAAGAAATGAGAATGGAGAGAATAAAAGATCCAAGGAAAATTAAAAGAATCATCACAAAATGGCTCAATTCTAAGTAATTTGGGAAAAAAATGACCTAAACCGGGCCAACAAAAGATAGACAGTCTCAATAGACTAATTATCAAAGAAAATTTTGAGAAAATTATTAAAAGAACTACACTCCTGAAAAGGACCACAATCAGAAAGTTTCACAGGTAAATTCTATCAAATCTTCAAAGAACAGATAATTCCACTGCTATTCTAACAGTACCAGAGCATAAAAAAGAAAGCTTCCAAACTCTCTTTATAAAACCAGCATAACACAGTACTGAAAACTGGCAAAGACTGCATGCACAAAAAAGAAAATTACAGTATCCTACTTATGAATATTAAAGCAGACAAAGAAAATCTAGGAGAATATGGAAAGACCAGTATACCCATTACCAGGGGGTTCACAAAATGATACCAAGGATGGGTCAGTAATAGGATACGTATTAATATAATTCACCATATTCATAGAACAAAGGAGGAAAAACCTTGCGTGCTTATCTTCATAGATGACAAAAAGGCACTTAATTCATAACCCATTCTGGATTTAAACAAAAAACCCCTCATGAACAGGTGGATACTTCTTTTACATGGTAAACACCCTAAACACGCTACACACACACACACACACACACACACACACGACTGTGCATGCACTTTCACGTGAGTGCTCTTACAGATCAATTAGAGAAAGACCAGCGCCCTAGCCAAAAATAATAACAATAATAAATTCTAGGCAAAGACCATGACCAGGTGCTTTGCTCAGACGCACTAGTAATAACAGTAGTATGAATTAAAAACAACAGTAAGAAATAATTTCTCACTCCTTAGATTTGTAAAGATCAAAAGATGTAATAATACACCCTGATAATAAGGACGTAGGGAAATACTCACTCCCAAATACTATTGGTTGGATTGTAAACTGGTCTAACACCTTTGGAACGATCTGACAGAATCCAGCAAAATTTAAAATGCATATGTGTTTTTATGATTATTAATTCTTGGAATGAATTACCATGATTTCCAAGTTTTATACTTTTCCTTTGTCTAAATATTATATCTTCATTTTTTCATCTCAAATATTACATTCAATTATTATTTTAACTCCACCTTTTCTTTGGAGATACAGACTTTGGAGTTTACCGATATCTATGAAGTACACTAGTTCTAAGTTTTACCTCATGAGTATAAACCTAGAGCCATCAGGAGTATAGGTCTAGAGCCAATGGCAAGATGATGTTTCCATATACTTTTTTTTTCTGGTGAGGAAGATTGGCCCTGGGCTAACATCTGTTGCCAGTCTTCCTCTATTTTGTATGTGGGATGCTGCCACAGCATGGCTTGATGAGCGGTGCGTAGGTCTGTACCCAGGATCTGAACCCACAAACCCCGGGCCGCTGAAGCGGAGCACGTGAACTTAATCACTATGCCACCGGGCCAGCCCCCTCCTTATATTTTTGGTGAGATTTGAAAACATACTATTCTAGCATTACACTCTTTTTAATTGTGGTAAAATATACACAACATAAAGTTTACCATTTTAACCATTTTTAAGTGTGCAGTTCAGTGGCATTAAGTACATTCACATTGTTGTACAACCATTGCTATCATCCATCTCGACAAGCTTTTCATCATCCCAAACTGAAACTCCATGCCCATTAAACAATAACACCCATTCCCTAATCCCCCCAACCTCCTGGTAATCACTATTCTTCTTTCTGTCTGAATTTGACTACTCTAGGTATCTTACATAAGCGGAATCATACAATATTTGTCCTTTTTGTGTCTGACTTACTTCACTTAGTATAATATTTTCAAGGTTCATCCATGCTGTAGCATGTATCAGAATTTCATTCCTTTTAAGGCTAAATAGTATTCCCCAGGATATACCACATTTTATTTATCCATTCATCTTCTGATGGACATTTGGACTGTTACTCCTATTGGCTATTGTGAACAACGCTATGAACATTGTTGTACGAATATCTGTTTGAGTGCCTGCTTTCACTTCTTTTGGGTAAATACATAGAAGTGGAATTGCTAGATCATATGGTAATTCTATGATTAATTTTTTGAGGAACCATCACACTGTTTTCCATAGCAGCTTTTATATTCCCACCAGCAATGCACAAGGGTTCCAATCTCTCCATATTCTTGCCAATGCTTGTTATTTTCTAGTCTTTGGATAACACTCATCCTAAGGGGCGTGAAGTAGTATCTCACGGTTTTGATTAGCATTTCCCTAACAATTAGTGATGTTGAGCATCTTTTCATGTGCTCATTGGTCACCTGTATATCTTCTTTGGAGAAATGTCTATTCTGGTCCTTTGTCCCTTTTTAAATTGGATTGTTTTATTGTTATTGAATTTTAGGAGCCCTTTATATATTCTGGATATTAATCCTTTATCACATATATGATTTGCAAATATTTTTTCCCATCCTGTGCTTCTTCCACTCTGTTCAAAGTACTTGGTATTACAGTTTGAAATAGGATATCAACCCTGCCTCAAATTCAGATAGAACATAAGAAATCAGAAGCCAGATAAACTACAAACTGTGAGAACAGACTAAGAATAGCTTTTACACTTTTAAAGGATTGTAAAAAAAAAAAAAAAAAAAGAATATGTGACAGAGACCATATATGGCCTGTAAAGTCTAAAATATTTACTGTTTGGCCTTTTATTTAAATGTGAACTTATAATTAAAGAAAATATTTGGGAGTTTCTATATGAACAAGAAACATTAAAGCATATTTTTTCTCTAAATGGAAGGGCTACTGCTTTTGTTTGTTTAAATAACAAACAGGGTACTGGGATTCATATTCTGAGCTAAATGCTTCTGCAAAGCTGAGAATTACAGCTTGGGAAAGTCTCAAACTCCATTAGTCCAGTTCTAAACAGTATGCTGAGAATGAAAAAATTTATAACACCCTACAGCACATTGAAAAATTACCTGAGAGGCCCTGATTACCTGCTACAGTTTTAAAATATAGCTGAAAATCTAAACCCAAAGGTTCCTTCCTCTGAAAAACTCCCACATGAAATTCCTCGTGTCCTCTCCTACCATCCTTGAAAAAAATTTTCACTCTTTAAAAGAGTAATGGGGGCTGGCCTGGTGGCACAGTGGTTAAGTACACGTGCTCCGCTTCGGCGGCCGGGGGTTCACAGGTTCGGATCCCGGGCGTGGACTGATGCACTGCTTGTCAAGCCATGCTGTGGCAGCATCCCATATAAAGGAAAATGGCCACAGATGTTAGCCCAGGGCCAGTCTTCCCCAGCAAAAAGAGGTGGATTGGCAACGCATGTTAGCTCAGGGCTAATCTTCCTCACACACAAAAAAAGGAGTAATGAAAAACTGAGGTTAGTGGCTTCAAACACAAAGGAACCGTTGTAAAAAAATATTTCAGTATAATCTGTTAAATTGAAAGTGTTAATCAAATTTAAGCCAAATAATCCAAGAACCAGGAATCATTTCTTTCTAGCATTCATTCTTGCCATTTGGCAAACTCGCTTTTCTACTTTAAGGGCACTCTGTAAGGTGAATACAAATAAAGTATATGTGGTAAGGGATCCCTAATCTACAGTTTCCTCCTCTTGACTTCCAAAAAATCATCGTGTAAATGGTATAGCAGTTGCATCTATGCTTACTATGAACAGTGATTTTGATGTGCTGCATGATAGTTTTAGAAGTTTTAGATTTTTAGCCATTCATTGGCCATGCATTGTATTAATGTTATTGTAATATAAAGTTCTGATAGGACACAGTGTAGTGGAAAAGTCTGAACTTGGAGGTAGAAACAGTCAGGTTCAAATTCCAGCCTGCTATGTGACCTTCAGTCTGGTCTCAGTCTCCTCATTCATACAATGGAAACTGAGATAGCATAAGTAATGCACATAGCAAAAGTCCAATAAATACCATTTCCCCTTTCCCCTTGAAAACAGTAATGAATAAAGCTAAGTAGGTAATCAGTTCTGTTTTTTCCAATACATTTATTTAGGAGAATGACTTTGATATTGGGAATGTTGTGTTAGAAATTTAGTGGATGGTGGTAGCTTTTAGTTCTATAATCAATTACTGAAGGCTACTAATGAAAGGCACAGTGTGAGAAAAAACTGTAGTCAATACTGGCTATTGCTATTAATGTTAGTTTACATTGCAAAATTTCCTATCTTACTCCATGGAGATAGTGTAAGCAGTACAAGGAAAACATATCTGTGAAACTTACAACTAGACATTTAGATTATCCTAGCATATTCTTTTTAGAAAAAGGTTATTAACTGAGTTACTATACTAATCATATTTCTACATATTCTAATGAACTGGGACACAATTTGGAGGCAGGGAGGGAGTCAAAGAACATCAAACTTTTGTAATAAGACAGAGGTAAGAAAATAAATACCAAACATGTCATGTTCCTATTCCTTAAAATTCCAGGTAAGTGGTATTATTGGATCAGTCTAAAATCTTAAACACCAAGTATGGAACGTCAGATGATCAAGTAAATCAGATTTAGACTTAGAAGTTTTATTTAAAAAAAGAAAGAAAAAAAAAAGCCATAGTGTCTGTCTCATGGCCTCTAGAGATGGTAAAGAAGAATTATTTGATATTGATTTTTCCTATGCCAATTAAAGGCTGTGGTGTTACCTAGTAGTCATCGGTAGATCAAGTACTAAACAGGGATTCCTTTGCAAGGGTGCAGCGGGTGAAAGAAAGTAAACTGAGAGTCCCCATCTCCTTAAGCAGGGTCCTTCTCCTTTTCCTTCTTAGTGTCTCAAGTATTGACTTTTCCTAAGGAGTATGCTTAAAACAAGGCAAAAAATATTATTTAAAAGGGGAGGAGTGGGCTCCTATTAATTCCTTTTTTATTGTTGCAGAGAAAATAGTGGGACTTGTAAAAGCTAACTTGAGAGACGTGTCGAGTGCTTCGACTCTTTCCAGTTCACCACCTGTCAGCTACAAAATATTTAGGAAATGAAAATAGACTAGTAGGACAGTTGTACCAATTCAATGAGGGTGAAACTTCAGGTCATACTCTTCAATATTTTCTTTCTACACATGTCTGTCTCACCTACTAAATTCAGAATCTCTGGTGGACACAAACTATACCTTTTTCATATTTGCATTCCTAATAAAGCAGAATGGCTACCCATAACAGGTACTATACAAAATGCTGAATGAAAGCAATCAAGACAAAATCCTTATAGTAAATAATTTATAAAATAACTTTTAAGTACTAGATAGCAATCATAAAACATTAAGGACAATTAGAAAATAGGAATATATATTTCAATCATGAATTCAGCAAGTACCAGAGAGGCCCAAAATTTAAGTAACTGGTTGCTAACGTCAAGTTCCTAAACTGCAAAGAGACTAAGAAGACAGTGATGATGGTGATCAAGCTGACTTCAACATTTCAGAAAGGCCAGTGGACACTGTACATTTTACCTATGATAACATTGCTAACCAAAAGACTAAGTTTCTTCTTTTTTGCCCAAAATAATATCAGCTCAGTAGGATAAGATTTTATCTTATACTGGTAAGATGCTCTGATAGCAATTAGGTATTATTTTGATTAATAAGGACTCTTGTTGTATATGCTAGGCCCCCCGCCCCGCCTCCTGCAATACACACACAATTAAGTAAGTTTTAGACAAGAGCAAAAGGGAAAAAGAGAATATCAGAAAGTAGAATATTTGTAGGCTGAGCTGGAATAAATCAAAGGCAGCCATCCTTAGCCAACTCCTCCTCAGCCCTATCCACCAAACCTAGGTCTTGTGGACTGACTATTCTAAATAAACTTACCAGTTATTCTAATTTAACACACTGACATATAAGCATAGAAATTTACAGCAGAAAAATTACCTCTCGAACTTCATCATCTTCTTCATTAGTATTTTTTTGTCTGCTTTCTCTGAAACGACGTACCTGGATTATAACAGAGTAAATCACAAACATGCTGCTTATTCCTATTACGTAAATATAAAACAACAGGCTACAATTGATTAACAGATGCTTTCCATAACATAAAACTTGGAAATTTAAGTGTAGTGTTCTCACAGAAGACCGATTAAAGAAACCATATTTTCCCAGTGACTTACATTAAAATTTCAAAAATGTACTCAAAAAAAAAAAAAAAAAATGGCCCTAAGCAAAATTACATTACCTGCTGCCAAAATGTTCCATGTCACTGAAAAATAGTCTGTCAGACTACAGAGGAAAAAATTCTAACATCCCATGGGTGTTACACTTCAGTAAAATAGTTAAAAACAAAAATCTCTCTTTGAAGAGGTCTGAATTATTTATTACATTGCTCACACCATTCTGTGCACCTCGCTGCAAGACGTCCAACAGGCTCTCTGAAATGGTATCTGAGTGGGTGGACCCCCCCGGAAGATCCATTTTATCAACAGTCAACTACTTGAATGTTTGCTGTTTGCCAACCATGGTCCTGATGGTTGATAAAGAATACTAGAGATTCTTTTATTACTGGTTCCTGCTCACAAGGCTCTTATAATGAAGTTATGTAGTTAGAGATAAGCTCCATTTACTTAATAATTTACCCCCTATATATTTACTGAGCACCTACTATGCGCCAAGCACTACTGTAAGAATTGAGAACACAACAATGAACAAAATAGTCAACAAGTCTGCCCTTATGGAGCTTACATCTGTGTGTGTGTGTGTGTGTGTGTGTGTGTGTGTGTGTAAGGGAAGGTAGTGAATAAACAAAATAAGAAGTTATATTGTGTTTTAGAAGGCATATAGGATCAACTTAATTCACAGCTAGGAAATTCACAGTTGGGAAAGCTAATTTACAGATAGGAAAGCTCCATCATCTCTGAGAAGCCTCTGGCATTCCCAGGGCCAGTTTATTTACTGACGGTTTTCAACCTGCATAACCAGTTAGGCAGCATGGCTTGATTATGTGACCAGAGGGGCATAAAAGACCCCCTGAGAACTCCTGCACAGACCTTAGTGTTCAATTCAGGGTACACTGTGTACAAATAAGGACATGAGAAGCTTATGCCTGGAGTCTCTCAGATCCCTAATGCCTGCCTATCCCCTTTTTCTTCTGTACTTTATTCTTTGTCTTTAAATAAAAACCTTAAGTGAGTATCTCAGTGGAGTTTTGTGAGTCCTTTTAAATATCTGGACCTGTGAAATCTTTGCAAAAGATGGTAAGTGCTCAGAGAAAAATAAAGTAGGAAGAGGGACGGGAATGCTGCAGAGAGGTTCCATCTGAACAGAATGATCATGAAGAGCCTCACTGAGAACGTAATATAAAAGCAAAGATTTAAAAGGAAGAGAACGAATCTTGCAAACAACTGGCGAAAATCATTCCAATCAAAGGAAAGAATATGTGCAAAGGCATTGGAGCAGAAGCCTGCCCAGTACGTCTAAGAAATAGCACAGAGGTCTCTGCATCTGGAGCAGATATGAAGGCAAAGAAGTAACAGAAAGCCAGATTGAATAAGGCCTTGTAAGTAACTGTAAGGACTTTTTTTTTAGGCAGGAGTGACTTCATCTGAAATACGTTAGGATCACTGACAGCTGAACTGAGAACAGAATAGTGGGAGAAGGGAGGGCACAGGTAGAAACAGAGACCAGTTTGGAGGCTACTGGAATAATCTAGGTGAGAAACAGCGATGCCTTGGACCATTGGTAGTGACAAAGGTGGTGAGTAGTAGCCACATTCTGTACATTTTGGCTCTGAAGGCAGAGCCAAAAGGATTTATAGACAGCCAGGATATATAGGTGACAGAAAGAGAGGAGTGAAAGATGATTTCAAGGTTTTTGGCCTGAGCAAATGAAAGAATGGCGCTTCCACTAGAACACTACAGGTAGAACAGGGACTGAGAATTAGCAATTCAGATGGGGAATGTTAAAAGTTTGAGATGTCTACTAAACATACAAGTCAAAATGTCTAGCAGGCTGTAGGCTATAGAAGTCTGGAGTTGAGAGGAGAGGTTTGGTCTAGACTTTTGAAAGTCACCACCAAACACATGGTATTTAAAGCCAGGAAGCTAGGAGACTACAAAGGGAATGCGTAGATGAAGAAGGGGTCCAAGGACTGAGTTCTGGGGACTCCAACTTAAGAGGCTGGAGAGATGAGAGGAATCAACAACAGAGACTGAGAATACACACAATAAGATAGGAAGAAAACCAGAAGAGTGTGCAGTATTGGAAGCCAATGAAAAAAATGTTTCAACAAGAGGTCAAACGAAATTTAAGATGGAGAACTAACAATGGATTTAGCAATGGAGGTCACTGGTGACTTGACAAGAGCAGTTTCACTGGAATGATGGGGTCATGGATGGGTTTAAGGAAAAAAGGAAGGAGAAGAATCAGGGCAGCAAATATACAAAACTCTTTGAAGCAATTCTGCTATAAAAGAGGAACAAAGAAACAGAGTAGTAGAGCTAAAGGGAAATAGGATCCAGAGTTTTGTTTGTTGAAAGAAATAACAGCATGTTTGATATGATGCAGCATAACAGCAGACGGGGGAAAATACAGGAATAGTTTTTTTAAAAGATGACACAGTATGTAATAGTGCTATAGGTGGTATGTGACATACCGAAAGTGCTGAGTCATTCACAGAAGAAGAGATGTGCGGCACTACGTGCCAACAGCGTTCTGAGGACTCTACATGTATTAATTCTTTTAATCCTTACAACGACCTTTATTATTACCATTATTACTCCATTTCAGATGAGGAAACTGAGGTGCAGAAAGGTTAAATAACTCACTGATGGTTATACAGCTAGTAAGGGTTTTGATTTTGAACACAAGTAGTCTGGTCCAGCATCCATGTTCTTAGACACCATGCTACTCGCACACATGCACACACACACACGCACACAGCCTCTTAGGAGTCATGATGTCGCTCCCAGGGGGGATGGTTATGTCTTGTAGAGTTTTAATTTTTTTTAGGGCAGTTTTGGGTTCACAGCAAATTTGAGAGGAAAGTACAGAGATTTTCCCTATATCCCTTGCCCCACACAAGCATAGCCTCCGCTATTATCAACATCTCCCACCAGAATTGGTATATTTTTTACAATTGATGAACCTACACTGATACATCATTATCATCCAAAACGCATAGTTTACCTTAGGGGTCACTCTTGGTGTTGTACATTCTATGGGTTTGGACAAATGTATAATGACATGTATCCACCATTATAGTATCATACAGAATAGTTTCACTGCCATAAAAATCCTCTGTGCTCCATCTATTCTTCCCCCTACCTCAGCCACGACAAACCCCTGACAACCAGTGATCTTTTTACTGTCCCCAGAGTTTTGCCTTTTCCAGACTGTGATATAGTTGGAACCGCACATTACGTTGCTGTTTTAGATTGGCCTCTTTTACTTAGTAATATGCATTTAAGGTTCCTCCATGTCTTTGCATGGCTTGATAGCTCATTTCTTTTTAGTACTGAATAATATTCCTTTGTCTGGATGTTTAAAGTTTACTTATTCATTTACCTACTGAAGGACATCTTGTTTGCTTCCAAGTTTGGCGATTTTGAATAAAGCTGCTATAAACATCATGTGCAGGTTTCTGGGTGGACATAAATTTTCAACCCCTTTGGGTAGATACCAAGGAACATGACTGCTGGATCATATGGTAAGAGTATGTTTAGTTTTATGAGAAACTGTCAAACTGTCTTCCACTGTGGCTGTACCATTTTGCATTCTTACCAGCAATAAATGAGAGTTCCTGTTGTCCACATCCTCACTAGCATTTGGTGTTGTCAATGTTCCGAATTTTGGCCATTCTAACAGGTGTGTAGCAGTATATCTCATTCTAATTTGCATTTCTATTGACATATGATATGGAACACCTTTTCATATGCTTATTTGCCATCTGTACATCCTCTTTGGTGAGGTCTGTTACCATCTTGCGGCACATTTTTAAATCAGGTTGTTTGTTCTCTTATTGCTGAGATTTAAGAGTTCTTTGTATATTTTGGATAACAGTCCCTTACCAGATGTGGCTTTGGCAAATATTTTCTCCTAGTCCGTGGCTTGTCCTCTCATTTTCTTGACCTTGTCTTTTGCTAAGCAGTTTTCCATTTTTAATAAAGTCCACCTTATCAATTATTTGTTTCATTGATCATGCCTTTGGTGTTATATCTAAAAAGTCATTGCCATACCCAAGGTCATCTAAGGTTTTCCCCTATGTTATCTCCTAGGAGTTATATAGTTTTGCATTTTATACTTAGGTGGGATGCTCATGTTTTATTTCAGAGAAATCCGTCCCTGCTAAAAATTTATGAACCCAATACATTCAGAGTCACAGAGTGAGTGGTTTCAGAGTGTGGATTACCTGCCCTAACTGTGAAAGTACTTGGCATTGAATATCACTACTTGTACAGTGACATCATAAGGCTTTAAAAGAACTATGTTAACTAACTAAAAGAAGTAAAACCAAAGTCAAAGGGAGTAAGTTTTTAAAACAGTGTTGTTCTGTTCTTCTGCTTAGAGATTCTTAGAGGGAATCTGGAAAATACAGAAACTGATCCCCTATAATCCCACTATCTGAACATAACCACTGACAATGTTTGAAATATTTTCTTCCATTCTTGGCATGCACACACACTCACATATAAAATAAATATAATTGGGGTCATATTGTATATAGTCTTACATCTTTGGAATTCTTTTCTCACTTAATATTGGAAATATTTTTCCATGTCCTATTTTTCCATATGCTTCAAAAGTGTAATTGTTAATGATTGTATAGTATTCTACAGTGTGTATGTGCCAACATTTATTTTACCAAAACATCTCCAATTTTTCCCCAGTGTGGGTAACACTAAGATGATTTACTCCGTACACAAACCTCTATCTCACTACTGTCTTAGGAAAATTTCCCAGGGCTGAGTTAAGGGCAATGCTCTTAAGCTTCCTGATCTACACAGCTAAACTGCCTCAGTGCAGCTGTTCAAACTTAATAGTCCTACCAGCAGCATACTAAATATTCTTCTCAAATTGTTGCCACTTTGACAAATAAAAAATGCATTTAATTTGAGGTTCTTTTATTATCCTAGGCTACACACCATTTTCATATGCTTATTAGCCATTTCTATTTCTTTTGTGAACCATCTATTTACGTCTTTTATTCATTATTATATTGAAACGTTAAGTATTTTTCTCAAGATTTATAAAAGCGCTCTATTATATTAAGAACATAACCTTTTTTCTGTTCACAAGTATTTTCTCCATGTCAATACATTCTAATTTTGTTTTTTTGACAATTTGACATGCAAACATTCAAAGTTTTTATGTAGTCAAATCTAAAGAGCTTTTCCTCTGATTCTTCCATTGCTTTTATGTTTAGAGAGGATGTATCTTCTAGAAGAAATTCAAAAATCTCAATCAAAACTTACTAAAAAATTGAAGTGAGCAAAAATTTTCATCCTACAAGGTTCATTTAAAAGCACTTTCATGATCTTCAAGAGACGATACTGTCTATGGGGAAGGAAACTAACATTTATTGGCTACTAATAATATGTAAAACTCGGTTCTAGACACTTACTAGACATTTTCTAATTTAATCCTCATTTTATTATCTCAATTTTAAAGATGAGAAAACTAAACAAATTAGAGAGGTTAAATAGTGGTTTATAGAAAGAAAGTCAGAGCTACTCTTAAGGAGAGACTGTCTAAATAGACTTATCCACCCCAAATCAGTTACTCACCTCTTCATCAATTTTATCTTCTACAGCATCAATATGACGTTCTTTAAGAAAGCGTTGTGTTTTTTCCAACTGGTATTTCACTAATTCCTCTATGGCATCTTTCTCTTCCTTGTCCACAAATTCTTGTACTGCTTCACCCATTCCCCTTTCTGTCAGAAGTGAGAGCTGCACCTTCTATAAGAGAGATTCAAATCACTGGATGCAGAAAATAGTATCCTTTTCAAAATAATGGTAAATGAGCAAGGAAAATTTACAGCACAATGTTACCAGTGAAAAAGACAAGTTACCTAGTTATTGAAGGGAAAAACAAAACAATGGACAGTTATTAAGCCCAGTGATAAATATTAAGGGCCAGAAAAAACAAAGTAAAAACAAGAACAGGGAGGAAGTATAGGACAGGTGAAAATGCAGAGGCCTGAGTGGCTGGGATAGAAAGTCCAGAAATGGCAGCTGATGATTGAGAGAGATTAGGTTAACCAGTGTGGTAGGCAGAATAACGGCCCCCTACAGATGTCCACATCCTCATCTCTGGGACCTGTGAATACGTTACATGGCAAAGGAGAATTAAGGTTGATAATCAGCTGGCTGTAAAATTGGGAGATTATCAGGGACTATCCAGGTATAATCACTAGCATCCTTAAAAGTGGAAGAGAGAGGCAGAAGAAGGGAGTCAGAGAGAGACATAACTGGGGAAAGAGGGCCAGAGAGATACAACATAGCTGGCTTTGAAGATAAAAGAATGGGGCCATGAGCCAAGAAACGTGGCCACCTCTAGAAGCTGGAAAAGATAAGGAAATGGGTTCTCCCCTAGAGCCTCCAGAAATGAACAGAGCCCTGCTGACATATCAATTTTAGTCCAGTGAGACCAGTGTCAGATTTCTGACCTATGGAACTATAAGGTAACAAATTTGTGTTGTTGTAAACTAGTAAGTTTGTGGAAATTTGTTTCAGTAGCAATAGGAAACTAATAATACAACCAGAGGATCTTAAAGTGGCATACACTCATGACAATAAGAATAGCTTCAACATTCTGTGGCTAAACTAATAAAATAATTCTGAAATTATATCCAGATGCAAGAAAATTAAATCCTGGATTCAGACTTATGGAGTAGAAATAAAAAGAAAGAAAATAATAACGATAATAGCCACAATAATAATATTAATAATTAACATTAATTAAGCACTTATTTTTCTTTGTAATAACTATAAATGAATGTAATTAATTGTCACCCTACTTACTTCATGGGAACATTTTGAGGATTCATTTTGTTTAATTAATTATACATACCCTAAATTAAAATGTATTATTATAAGATAGCCATTACTCAAAATGTGAACTGTAATTAAGAAATTACCTTCTCTGCGGTTTGGAAATACTGTTTTACAAGGTCTTCTACCCTTAGAGTTGTTCCTTCTGAAGGTCTTGTGATGAGCTTCCCAAAATTGATCTCTTCTCCTAGAAAAAAGAAGTCCATGAAATAATAGCAGCTTCTACTATACTCTGAAAGTGCCCAAACTCATCACAGGTTGCTGTTAGTCAAGGAGGAACAGCCAAACTTTATCAACTGTCAGCTTGCTCAACATGGTAAATTTTGAGGCAAAAACATGGCATTTTTGCTAATAGCTACAGTCTTGTCTCCAAAGTCTGTATTTCTTTTCCATATCTCCAAGTAGTACATCGCTTGCAGCTCTTCTCACAGCGTGGTCCACAGACCTCTGAGGGTCCCCAAGACCCTTTCAGGGGGCACTCAAGGTCAAAACTACTTTCACAACAATACTAAGACATTATTTACCTTTTCCACTGTGTTGATATTTGCCCTGATGATACAAAAGCAATCATAAACAAACTGCTGGTGCCTTGGGATGAGTCAAGGCAGTAGCTGGGAACTCTAATAGTCACCACCTCGTACTCACAGTTCAAAACCAAACAAAACAAGCCAGTTTCACTTAAGAATGTCCTTGATGAAACAGTAAAAATTCTTATCTTAATTATATCTCAGCCCTTAAGTACATATCTTTTTAATATTCTGTGAGACAAATGGGACATAGGCTCAAAGCACTTTTGCTGCATTCCTAAGCAGGATGGTTGTCTCAAAAAACAGTAGGTGAAAAATAAAAAGAATAGTGGGTACGAAGTCAAGAAGCATCAGGTCCAGTATCTGCTCTGCTGATAACCTTTGTCAGGGAAACGAACATTAAGTGCCTGGCAGGTATTGGACCCGGTGTTGAAAATACAATGATAAAAGATAGGATATCCGCCCATAAGAACAAATGATACAATCCCAGGTGGTAAGTGCTACAACAGAGGTAAGAATAGAGAATATGACACACAGACAAGAAAGAAATTAATTCTTCTCAAAGAAGGTTGAAAATAATATGCAGATATCAAATGCACCTGTCATTTGAACCAAGTCTTGCAGAATGGATATGATTCACTATGCAAAAAAGAAAAAAGAAAAAATATTTGAGGCAGAGGAAAAAGTATATGCAAAGTCCCAGAAGGTACAGAGGCACAAAGTTCAGTGTGCCTCTTGTAAAGTGCTAAAGACAAGTGAACAGAAATCTTCTTTAAATTTCAAGACAGGAGAATTAATATTACTTCAAAAATGACTGCTACATTTTACCATACCAGACACTATGTTAAGATCACTTACATACAGTGTGTCATCTAAACCTCACAACAATCCTATGAGGCAGGCATGGTTATGATCCTGATTTTATAGACATCAGAGAGGTTAAGTAATTTGCACAACATTACATATGCAGTTAAGTAGCAGAGCTGGGCAAAACAACAGAAAATGCTTTCAATAAAACATATGAAAGAGTCACTGTTTCCATTGAGCAATTTATGTTTAAACAAAAAAGAAATTAAACTATGGATGAAACTCAATACTAGTTCTATATTCTGTATTCTTATGAATGCTACCCATAAATTTCAAGGAATTGATAAGGATGGACAATTAAAGTAAACCACTATCAATAAGCAACTAATTAAAATTCACAGCATAAAAATATTATTCTCTGATATGGATTTTTTGCCCCCTAAAACAGCATTCTATGAGCTCCATTTAAATATCTGAACAACTGTTTCAGGTTGAATTAACAGCATACACAATTTTGATCACAATTTGACACTGAAAATAGAAGCCCATTAAATTCGGGTTAATAAAAACCTCAGTAGCTTACTTGTAAACAAGGGCCATAGTGTCCTATGAAAATTCTCTGACTCAATAGCTCTAAGGGGAGGAGCCTCCCTACCGAACATGATCACTACTTCTTATGCAGAAGCACTATTTCAGTCAGATGATCTGTTTTTGTAAGTGCTAAAATAAAGGCAATTCGTTTTTATGAAATTTAATCGGAAATTAATTACTAATTACCTGATCATCAGAAACATCAAACTATGGGACATCTCTTATTTCAAAAGACTGGAGTCTTCCTCCACCACTGTACACTCAAAAGTTGAAATACTTAATAATGCGAAATTTGAGAGTATATTCTCTGAATATTAATAATGTATAGCAAATAACAGATATTTATTTTGAGCAATAAATCTCTAAGTCTGTGTATTGTTACTCAGCAGCACTGTTTAGAAAAACTACATTTGCAGAGAAAGTCTTCCATTTCTTATCGATATCTACAGGCTTAAAAATGATTGCTATCTAATTTTCAGAAGACAAGAGATTTAATTATTCCAACTATCAGTTTATTTGTCTAAGATATTAAAAAGAATCATACTAAAACATTTTCCATGACTATTTTATACTTCTTTTACTAAAGATTGATTTACATAAACCTTGTAAGAGCATTTTTTAATGTTTAAAAATAATTAGCTTACCTGTTTTTTCCTTTTGTTCTCTATGCCTGAAAAAATGGATAACATCTTTTGGATTAGCTACCCGATCCACAAATTTCTGGCTAAAGCGAAGAACACTGAAAGGTTCAAAACCTCCACTGTAGTCCACCTGGAAATACAGAATAAGCTATGAAGGCTAGGAAACAATTTGTCAATTTCAGTATCTATGTTTATGCTCAATACTTTTAAGTTAATAAATTAATTTTCTATGATTCATTTTAAAGATCATGATGGTGTTAACACCACTTATTCTACTGAGGAAGTACAGCTTTGAAGGTTTATAAGCTTACGCAAAACACTTTGTTCAGTGGTATCAAGCTACAGCGAGGATTCCCACAATGTCGGAATGACTACATCTCCCCATGACAACACTAATAGTCTAGGCACCAGCAGTACCATCTGACAAGGAGGTGGAATTTATAAACAAACTTTTAAACTTTCAAAACAGAAAGAAAATTCTCCACCCAAATAAAATGCCTGCCCTATATACATTAGTTAATTGGTCTATCATCTTAGGGATATGCTCTCATCCTAGACGAGGATATGTGCTAGGAAAAACTCCTGGAGGAAAAGAATCAAATCTGTGTGCTCTGAGAAATGATTACCTTCAAACACAGTATCTATTTAGAACTAACAATTGCTCTCAAGGCAGGCTCTTTCTAAAGAAGTCTATAGTGGTACATAGACCTTTACAAAGAAAAATACTACATTTCTTTCTAAGAGATGTAATTATTTTCCTAAACCAGCTGTTCTCAAAGTATGCTCTGGGAGTCAGCATTGTACCACAGCACAGCCTATCCAGGCTACTCCTTAACCTCCACCATACTTACACTCTTCATCACACTTAGCCCCGGCTGACATTTTCTTCATTTATTTGCTGTTTATTATGTCTCTCCTCACATCTCCATCTCCCATAAACTCCACAAGTTTAAAACCTGGTCTGTTATATCATCGCTGTGTCCCCCAGCATGCAGAACAGAAGGTACTCAATAAATATTCGTTCACTGAATTAATGAATTAATGAGGGTCCTCTAGTTGATACAAAATACTACTTGCATGAAAATATCTGTTCTTTTGTTTCATGAATGAATGAATAATTTACTGTGTTGAGGAAAAGGAATGCCAATTTTCTATTTAAGTCTGGTGGGTTCTAATGGTGTCAGGCAGACATAGCTGAGAAACATGCGATCTTCTGCCCTCATAAAGAGGACTATGTGTTTCCTCCAAAGCAACTATGTCTGTGTTACCCAAACCATCTCTACAGCTGCCATGTTATAAAACAGAAAACGCTAAATGCTCAAGCCACTGGGTCTCCCCAAAATTCTTTAGACATTCTATAATTATACTCCAACCTAGCTTTATTTGTAATTTTCTGCTCCTAAGAGTCACAAAACTTGTTCATTAAGCAAACTTTATTAGTGTCCACAATGTACTAGGCACTCTGCTAAGGGCCAGGAATACAACTATAAATAAACACAGTCTTGGCTGTGAAGAAATTCACAAGTTGACTGGGAAGACAAACATGTAAATCAATAATTGGAAGTAGAATGTGAATGGTGCTGTTAAGAAGTATGCACCAAGTAGAATGAGGACACAAAGGAAGAAGCATCGACTCTGAAGGGAGGTCAAGAAAGGCTTCTTTGAAGAGCGGAGGCTTTAGTGGCTGTTGAAGGAGACACTATGGAAGAAGGAGAGAAGCACATTCCATGCAGCACAATCAGCATGAGCAACGGTGCGAAAGAGTGAAATAAACTCAACTGGGCTCAGGGAACAGTAACTTTTAGTCCAATATAACTGGAGCTTAGGATTGCTGGCAGGAAAAGGAGGCAGAAGCCAAAGAGGTCGGTTTACACCAGGTCATGTAGACCCTTGAATGCCATCTAAAAGTTTAGACTTGTTCCTGTTGGTGCTAGGGGATCATGAAGTCACTTTCAGCAGGAAAGGCATACAAGATCATGTTTTACAAAGATTATTTTGGCATCAGTGTGGAGAAGCTAGAGGTGGGGAGAGGGGAAAGTGGAGGCAAAGTCAAGTAGGAAGCTGCAGCTACAGGCCAGGTAAGACATGACCAGGGCTCAACTACAGCAGTGACAATGGGATACAGAGAAGGGACCAGATTACCTACTCTGCACTGGGCACTACTCACTTCATGTAGCTCTTGTAAATCTATGAAGTACAAACCAAGGGACAAGAGATCCAGTTGCTCAAGGTCATATCACTAGTGGTAGAGCCAGAATCAAGCCCACGCAGTCTGGCTCTACCACTAGAGCCTTTACATTCATACTCTATACCCCAGGGCTTCTCAAATCTTAATGTGCACACAAATCTCTCAGGGATCTTGCTAAAACGCACTTCAGTGGGTCTGATGTGGGGCCTGAGAGTCTGCAATTTTAAGAATTTCCCAGGTAATGACAATACTGCTGGTGTGAAGACCATACTCTTTGAACACCAGGCTTTAGGGGGACTCCTAGACCTCAACCCGGAGGTCTAAGCTGGAGGTAAAGTTCTAGGAGTCATCACTCTATAGGTGGTCATGAAAGCCAGATGCCTAGACTGAAGAGGGCTAACTAAGAGATAGACAGGGACAAATATTACTCAAAGAAGAGAATGCCAAAGAGTGATTCAGTAAGATGAAAAAAGTCCACTGGATTTGACAACTGAAGGTCACCTTTTCCACCTGAGCTGATGGGGTCAGAGCCTTGATTACAGTGGATTGAGGAACAGAATATTAGATGAGCAGTATAGGCTATGTATTTTGAGGGATTTGGAAGAAAATAAGAAAGACAGGGTAGGAGCTAGGAGATAGGAAAGGCACGGGGCAAAAGAAGAGGTCTATTGTTGTCTGTTTGTTTATACCATGGTGGAAAAGACAAGCAGGCTTATAGGCATAGGAAACACTTCAATTTCTTAAAATTTGTTAACGCTCTTAAATACTTATTAATCCTTTCAACATACTTATCAAGCACTTGTTATATGCCAGGAACTGTTCTGGGATCTTTGGATACAACAGTTAACGAAATTCACAAAGTTCCATGCTTTCATGGAGCTTATAGTTTTGTAGTTGAGGATGAACAATAACTAAAATAAATAAGCTATATATAGTAGGTCAGGAGGATGTGTTGTGGAAATAAGGAAAAGAAAAAGTAGAGGAAGGTAAGTGAAATCAGGAGTGTTGGAGAGAAGGTATGGGGTTGCAATCTTAATCAGGGTTGGGCCTCACTGAGGTGACATTCGGGCAGAGCTGAAAGAGGTGAGAATGTGTCTGCTATGTTTGAGGAACTTCAAGAAGACCAAGGTGCCTGAAATGGAGTGAGAGGAGGGGGAGTAGTAAAAGATGAAGTCAGAGATCTCGGCCAACTTATTAAATACAACTACTATTCAGAAAATGAGAAAAATAAGAAAAAAGAAAAAAATATCAAACCTATCAGATTTAAACTATCAAGTCAAATCCTGACAGCTTTATTATTTTTGCCACCCAATGGTGATTGCTCTTATTACTAAATGTACTCTCCTTACTACTTTGCAAAAAAATTCATGTAAACTATACAATACCATCCTCTGAAAATCAATAAAGTTTAACGTATCTAAATAGAACTTACTCGCAGTCGTATAAGAGGCTTCTCTGGCTGCCCAGGATTTCCCAGACGCTCCCGTTCAGCATTGTCAAGCATTTCATTAATCTCAAAATAAAAATATTTTCATGATTGAGGGAAGGGGTACTACCGGCATCTACTGGGTAGAGGTCAGAGAGATATCGTTCAAGTCCTACAATGCACAGGACAACCTCCCACAACAGAGAATTATCCAGTCTAACATGTCAATGCGCCAAGGTTGAGAGACCCTGGGCTTCCTGACACAGGCCTGGCCAATCAATTCATTTTCTATCTCCCTGGCTTCAGAGATTGGGTTTAGGGACAAGTACATGACCTCAGTCCAATGAAACTCAATGCTAGGGGTTTATTTGGATTACTGGGAAAAATGATTCCTTCAGCTGTAAGGATAATTTAAGTCTGTGAGCCACCATGTGAAAATGCTTTCCTTATAGTAAAGCTTGATAGAGAAACCATCACAGCAGGTGGCAGGGGCTAGACACAAAAAACAGAGACAGAGAAATTCAAAATCTTAATTTCAGTTTCTGGATCTAGTCATCTTGAAACCAGCATACTCTTAAACTTTTTAGTTATGTGAGCTACATGTTGTTAGTAAAACTGTGACACTGGGCAAGCTACCTTATCTAAGGCTCAGTTCCTCTTCCTATAAAATGTGGATGGTAGAATCTACCTACCTATAACGCTGCTGAGTGGATTAAATGCAAAGTGCTGTCAATGGTGCCCAGAATATATAAGTAGTCAATGAATATCAGTGGTAATTATTATTATCATCATTATTACTGCCTCATATGATTTTTTGAGAAAATGCAAAGCAGAAGAGCTAGCACAGAGTACAAACTGAGTAAGTGTCACCAATTAATGTTATTAAGCTGTCAACTTACATACTACTAAATGCATTCACCCAGCTTCAGTAGTGGCTCTAGAATTTCTGCAGAGCTAAACGTTTAGGGGTGGCAATCTGCATGGGAAGGGAGGTATGGGACTTATGCTGAAGCTACAAGGTGCATAGCAAACATATTTTAAGATTTTATTTGGGGTAGCTTTCAGGGTGAAAAGGATGCCTAATGGAGATTATTAGAGAGGCTAAGGCCCTCCTCACCTACCATAATATCCTCCTATTCCCCAGTTAAAGCCACTGCCTGCTTTCATAAATAAAATGAACAAATTATCAAATCAGGACAAAAAGAAAAGACTATGTACATGTTTTTAAGATGAAGGAAAGGAACTAGGAGGGGGGGCTTAATTAAAGTTTCTTTTATATATAACACTCCTCCATCTAGAAGACTTAAAAAAAAGATCTTCAATACAACTAAACTCATTTATCGAACAACAGTGGTTCCTTACAGGCTTCATGAGAATGTAACAAATATAATGACTTCCCTCTACTCTAATGAAGTAATTAAGTCAATCTAAATAATCTCTCTACTAAAGTACATCTCATTGATCTTTATCTAGAAAAATTACCTTCTCCAAACAGAAGCTTTGTATGGCTTGGGTTACTTTAGGATTATCTGGGTTAAAAATGTCTGGATGATCAGCCAGGACAATATCCTCCATAAAAAACTGCCGCACTGTGCGAAGAGGAATTTTCTGCATATTCATCTTCCTTCCTTTAACACGCAGCAAACCAACGTGTCTGAAAAGAGGAGGGAAGTGAAGGCCTAGTCACATGGTAAATCTCCTCAGGAAAATGTACACGTCAAAACTATCATATCTCTAAGTTTCTACAAAATATTTCTTTATAAAATCATATCCTTAAAAAATGCTTGTTGGAATTTAATCTTAATGTTATATCACAGGAAAAAATATTAAACATTCTTCTTCCTCAGAATAAAATGCACTCATCCATCATTTTGCCTGTCTGAACAAATAACACAGTTTAGTGAGGAAAGACAGACGTAAAAATATGTATAATAAAATGTTATCAGGACTCTGACAGTAGTATATATAGTATGTAATATTACACATATGTATTATGTGTGTGTATATGTATATATGTACACACACATACTTAAATTAAATTAGCAGCAGAACTATGAAGAAAAAACCAGCAAACTTGCACCCTACTACCATATTCTTTAAACCTATTATTACCATCATAACAAGCAGAACTTAAGTGGATTCAAAGAGTAAAATCCATTCTAAAAATTGAGTAACCATTCTAAAAGCAAATCACTACTGGGGCTGGCCCAGTGGCCTAGTGGTTAAGTTCATGCACTTCGCTTCAGCAGCCTGGGGTTCGTGGGTTTGGATCCCAGGCACAGCCCTACACACCACTTATCAAGCCATGCTGCGGCAGGCATCCCACATATAAAATAGAGGAAGAATAGCACGGATGTTAGCTCAGGGCAGTCTTCCTTAGGGAAGGGGAGGATTGGCAATGGAGGTTATCTCAGGGCTAATCTTCCTCATCAAAAAAAATTAAAAAAAAATTAAAAAATAAAATCACTATTAACGACTTTGCCACATAATTCCCCCAAAGAATTAAAAGAAATGAGATATACTATAATATTGAATTTATAACCAGAAATATCTCATAAATGGTTTCAGGTGAATTTGTTTATAAATGGACTTTGTGAAATTAGTAATGATCATTTATAGTACTCATTGAAAATTTAATAAACAAAAATGTTAGTCTTGAATATGCCTAATGAGCAGCAAAATCACTAATGCCACTGGGATGCTGTCATGTTGAAAATGGCTTAAAATTTGGGAAAATAGCAAGACTACCTCAAATGATCAACCTTCATAAATAAATCTATCATATAAATAACAATATCATCAGTACCTTGAACCTATGAGACGTTCAGACAATTATAGCAAGTATTTTCTTAAAACTTGATATAGAAAATACAATTACTCACTTCTTTGCAGCTTCTCCTGGGGAAAGAGAAGTAACCACTGAACTTCCAGGCTGTGATATATAAAAGAGTTGTTGTTCATTTCTGGTTGGAGCTATTTTACACTCATGTTCATGGCCCCAGATAACAAGATCAATGAAGTCATCCAAAAACTGTTCTGGAATGAAGTTAGTACGTCCGTGTTTACTCCTATACCAAGATTTTAAAAAATAAATAATATAAATGTCCAGAGATATTGAAAATTTTCATATTAAGTAAATTTATACATAGCTTTCTTTCTCCTTTCATTAAAGATTTATTACATCCCTTCTACGTGCCAAAACTGTGCAAAGGACTGGGAATACAGAGATAATATCTAATTCTTGCCCTCAAAGGGGTAACAAACTTGGAGGACACAGACAAGCAGGAGCCTAAAAGAGAAAGCAGTCGATTCTACATTTAGAGGCAGATCACAAAAGGCTTTACAGAGGAATAACTCCCGCTTTGGGCTAGTCAGAAAAGCACGTACTCTATCAACAGTAAAAGTCTATAAATTGGTCTGATTATACACCAAAAAAAAAAGAACACAGAAAATGAAAGTGAGTTAAGTCTAGACTCTAGAATAAAAATAAATCTCTAAACATGTCCAGTCATTTTTTAACACTATCTGTGTCTTTTACTGATTACAAAAATAATAGGAGTAAGAATGTCAATCTTACATAAGAGATAAGAGTTTTCCATATTAAATAAAATACCATACGAATATGTGATTTGCAAACTCTGGTTTTCTACCTAGATTAGTTATTACTAAAAGGTATGTGAAAACCCAAGGTGAGGAAAGACAAGAAGGAAAAGTTTTCCCTAACATTGATTTATACCATTGGGAATTTAAGTAAAACTGTTCAAATACTTCAACTCAACATTCACTTAACGCAAACTGATATTCATTCATTCGACCAGGTATCTGGTCGAATCTCCGTGCCAGGTATCCCAGGCCTCTTCTAGATACTGAAGACACAGCAGTGAACAAAGTCCTTGCTCTGGTGGTGGAAACCAGCAATAACACAAAATGTATATGTACACGTGCGTATATATAATTTGTCAGGTAGTGATAAATGCTCTAAAGAAAAACAAAAGGGAAAGTAACATGGAAGGGAGATGCTACTATACATAGGGTGGTCAGGAAAGGCCCCTCTGACAGGTGACAAATGAGAATAGAACTGAGATGAGGGATCAGCATACAAGGGAAGAAAGTCCTAGGCAGAGGGACGAGCAGATGGCAAAGGTGGAGAGGTGGGAATGTGTTCAGTGAGTTCAAGAACAGCAAAATTCATGTGGCTGAGCAGAATGAATGCAGAGAAGAGCAAGAAGTGAAATCAGAGAAGCAGCAGGCTCAGGCATCTAGGAATGTTTTCATCTAGAAAACATCTATCTAGGGTAGGGTATCATCACAATCACTGAAGAAAAGCAGAGTAACTCCAATATAACACGCTGCAAGTGTGCCTTCACGGATCACTGACTCTTTCACGGAAGAGTGAAGATTATGCAGGTAGGTTGACTCGGTTTGTGACTTAGAAATTGATCAAAACATCCTTGTGGAAATATTTTGCATGACAAAGTAAGTCCTCCCCTACTTCAGAGTCTACCTTCTTTTGCAGGAAGAGAAATTTCAGAAAATAGTCCATATATAGAAACAAATGGACAATAAAGTAAAATGTAAAAGGCTCAATAATTCTCATTTAATACGAGAAAACCTGTTTTTTAATAAGTCCACGAAAGCAATAACAAAAGAAGTATCTAAGAACACAGAGGGTGACAAATAAACCAAACAGTATTACAAAAGAATCATAACCACAATGAAGGGGATGGGGGGAAAAAATGAGCTGACCTAAGTAACTTTGCAAAGTGGTGTTTTGACTGGAAATAAACTTCTAGACAAATTTTAGAATAAAGACTAAAAAAATTTACGCAAATCCTGAACCCCAGTAGGTAAATTTGTTTCCCACAGGGTTATCCTTATGGGTCAGCAATTTTAAAATTACTTTTTGTGTAAATCCTGATTGAACAAATAAGTAAATATATTGTAGGCAATACGATCCAGGTTTCTAACTGCTAGAGAAAGAAGTCACAGATAAGGAAAAGGAAAAGACAAAAATGAACCCCGTAGGGCTGGATCAGAATCAGTACGAACTCATGCTTGGTTTTCTTTAACATATATATAGATAGAGAAATGTAGATGTGTATGTATGGGGTAGTATTCATATATATATTTCCCTACACTCTGTTCACTGGGAGGGCTGAGAGAGCCCCGGCAGCAATAAGCACACCTAATGGCCATATCTGGGTTTCTAAATACTACTCTCCAGTAGAAGCAATCAGGGATCCTCGGAGAAGTGATTGAGTCCAGGGCTAGGGCAGAAAAGAAAGATGGGCTTGGAGCATCTTGTGGTATTAGAAAGTTCAGGACGTGCTCAAAAAAAAAAAAAAGGAAGAGGGTATGTTGAAATGACACAGAAAAAGAGATCCCAATGGTCAAAGCTGGAACAATTTGAGCAACAACAACAAAACTGATAGTATTGGATTATAACTCAGAGGATAAAATAAATATCCTTTGAGTCCATTACAACACAAATAAATAACTGAATAAATAAATAAAAGAGAGAGAAGGGACAAATTTTCCTTACAGAAAAAATTCAATAGATGGAGATAGAATGAGAAAAATTTTTTTTAAAAATCACAATTATACCACCACAATATTAATTGCTGGAAACAAGATCAACCAACGGATGCTAAAATTAGTGGGCAAAAGCTTAAAGTGAAACAGGATAGCTGCATAGTCTCAAAGTACTTTTGCTAAAGTATTTATTAATACAAAGTGGAAAATGGAAACTTTACAGTGGAGAAACCTAGTATACACCACCTTAATAAAATCAAATGATCAAGGATAACGTCACCAATAACTAGCTATACCAACATCATACTACCCATTCTCCTTACCAATGCTGCCATTCCACCTTTCATTCTGGCTTAAGTTCTTGGAATCACTTATGACCTTTCCTTCCAACTTACCCCTACTTTGGGAAAGTAAAAAGTGTAGCAGAACTGGGAAGCCCTAAGCAAGAAAGGAACAAACTCCCAGTAGTGTAAAGTTATATGGCGACCACACACATCAAAACTCTGGCCTGCTCCTCCTTTGAAACTCACAACGTTTATTCAAGAATGTATATAGGGACCAGCCTGGTGGCATAGCAGTTAAGTTCTCGAGTTCCACTTTGGCGGCCTGGGGTTCACCGGTTCGGATCCTGGGCGCGGACCTACTCACCGCTCATCAAGCCATGCTGAGGCGGCATCCCATAGAGAAGAACTAGAAGGACCTACAACTAGGATATACAACTATGTACTGGGGCTTTGGGGAGAAAAAAGAAAAAAAAAAAAAAAAAAGAATGTATATAGGGCAACACAAGGCTGTTCCCTAAAGCCTATCTTTCACTGAGTACTTAGTGCCAGAGTAAGTAATGGTAAGTACCAGAGTCCTCTGCAGTCAACAAATATCTGTTCGATAGATAATAAATTATACAATTAGGCCCAAATCCCTTTGGATTCTTCCTTAATAACTTCTCAGCTTTGTCCCCTACATATCATTCTCACTGCCCTCACTGTTACCATCTCAGACTTTTTTTTACTGTAATGATCACATAATAAATTTTGCTTCCTCAAGTCTCTATTCCTTTCAATCAATCCCACACCCTACCAATAGACTAAACTTAAAATTACCCAACAAATGAAAGCTGATCTAGCTATACTTATATTCTAGAAAAACACCTGCATATATGCACCAGGAGATGTGTATCAGAATGTTCATAACAAAAAGGTCTTAAAAAAGCAAAAATCTGGGAACATAAAACATTCACTAAGAGAAGAAAAAGTATAACTGTTCACATCAGTGAAAATGAATTACACTTTGCAGCATCAAAATGGATGACTCTTAGTAATGCTGAACATAATAAGCCAGCTGCAAAATATATAGCATGGTAACATGGTTTCAGTTATCCCAAAACTAAATAAAACACTCATTATAGGTACATATGTTATTAAACAATAAAGAAAAGCAATGGACTGATTAACAAAAATTGAAGACAGTGTTTCCTTCTGGGATATGTGGAAAGAGATGGGGTTGGGAAAGGAAGGACATGGGACAACATACTGGTAATGTTCCATTTCTTTGCTGAATTTAGGAGCATTCATTTTATGGTTATTCTTATACTTTATCTATATGCTATAAATAATCTTTTATAGGTATAAATATATATTGAAAACAATTTCAAAATGCAGTCACACAAAGCATAACTAAGTTCTGCCTGATCCTGCATTGAATTCCAAAGAATAAGAAGCATTTTACTGAAATAGGTAAGCCTGGAAACAGATTTGGGGAACCTCAAATACTTGACTCAAAATTTTCAGAGAATACTTTTACCTGTTCTGATGAATCACAAATAAGTTAAACCAAGAGTTCTCATCTTCTTTTGGTCTGAACATTATTACTTTTTTATTGACGAACATCCTGTAGAGCCTTTCATCTGGAATGGATCCTGAAATGGACATTACATTATTTTAAAACTAGCTTTGCTTCTAAAGTACATGCTTCTCTAAGTATTTCATCTTCCTATTAGAGATATATTGAAATCTGGAATCATCATTTACAAATGAATATGTTCCAGGTTCTTGCATGACAGCTGCTAAGCAGTTAGCTGCAGTCAAATAATGTTTTCCATGTCAAGCACATATACCTTCAAAATCTGGAAAATGTGAAATAAAAATTTGAGTTCTCTCTGCTTAAATTTTTATTAAAATTTCTAATAATATTGTTGTTCACTATTCCTTTATTTATTATAAGTATATATGAACTTCTGATCTACCATACACATTATAAAATACACAGATATTAAAAGGGATGAGATAAAAAATGTATTTAAAAATAATAGTCTTATATATACTGTGTTTTTAAATAAAAATACTGTGCTTTTTAATAATTTAACAACTTTTAAATAATTCTTCCTGTGCCCCAAAAGATCACCTTATTCTAGTAGAGGAGGCCAACAAAAACAAGTAAATGAAAACAAATTACAACTTTGAATATTATAAAAGGGGAAAGAGTCAGGATGCTAAGATGGGGGATATCAGTGGTGGGACAAGGTTGCTATTTTATGTAGTGATTAGGGAAGGCCTTGAAAGAAAAGCCAACAACCCAGAAGTGTAAGAGCTAGAAGAGGTCTAGCTTCTGAAGAGAATTCCTAAGGCGTGGCCAATGGAATAGATGGTGGAATGTAGAATATATAACTGGAGACAAAAAAGTCAGGGCATACACAGCCCAGGGCATTAGAAGGTTGATAAACTTAGGTGCTGAAGCACTGAGAACACTGACAAAATCTGAAGGTAGGTAGGTAAAAAATTTGAGGGAAAGGAAAGGGTAGATTAGCCAGTTGGCAATTAGCTTCAAGGGAGCAGCGTGTTTGCAGGCAGGAAAGGAAGTGGCAGCAGGGAGCAAGAACAGTGATCCACACCTCCCTTCTGCCCTAACGCCCATCAGAGGCCATGAGAAAACTGTGGAACACGGTAACCTCAGAGGCCAGACAGTTTCACCGAAGGTCGGAGAGTAGAGGCAACGTTCAGAGAAGAGACTGATGATATGAGGGAATCTGCTAACTATAAAAAGAGCTCTAGAGTGTAGAGCGGAGGCTTGGGGTGAGAGTAGGGGGTGGAGGGTGGAGACTGAGTCCAGTTAAGGAAAACAGAACAGGATGAGATCACAGGCTGGGAGGAAATGGATGACTGAAGAGGTGTGCTTCTGGCAGTGACTCACGCGTAATGGGCTTTGTCCTTAGTCTGAAAGTGGGATCAACCATTTTCTGCAGATATGCTCGGTTCCTAACATTGTAGTGATTAAAATACCTGTTATTGGCTTTTTTAAAGTGATTTTCACTTCCTGATCTCTCACTTGCAAAATCAGACATAACACCTTGATCTCATTTTTCATATCTCTATAATGTAGATAACCATGATGCTTTTCTATTTGTTAGAGAAATTATGAAAACAGGACAAAGACTATAAGCACCATCCATCATAATTATTCTTTTAAAAACATACACAAAGAGAACTGAAGTAAATAAGATCTTCTAAGGCTTCCATTATACTGAAATCACTCAAAAAATAATAAAAACTATGTTGAGGCTACAGTGTGAAATTTTTTCCCAATTTCTCTCAGAATACTTTAAGGTTGATTTAACACGATATATAATTTTCATAACATTCTACATACGAAAAAAACAACAAAGCTATTACATTCATAAAACAAAATATCAAGCTGAACTTAATCCAAGGAAGACACAATAAACAGACTTTGAATGCACTCTAAAACTGTCTTTGAGCTTTCATTCATATGGAATAAAGCCTAGCAAATAAGCTTTTACCTAGTAGACACTAAATAAATTGAAGAGAGTAAGTTGATAAATTTTCTGAGCACTATGGATGACAGCTCTAGACAAACACTGTCTAATAACAATATAATGTGAGCCACTACTGCAGGCCAAATACATAATTTTAAATTTTCTAGTAGCCCCACATTAAAACAAGTAAAAAGAAACAGGTGAAATTAATTTTAATATATTTTATTTAACCTAATACATTAATAAGGTATTTTACATTTTTTTCTAATTCTTTGAAACCTGATATGTATCTTATACTTATGGTATATCTCAACTCAGACTAGCCACATATCAAGTGCTCAATATCTACATGAGGCTAGTGGTTACCGTATTGGACAGTGAAGCTTTAGACCTTTCAAAGACTTCTAAGATATCAAAATGCAGTTTTCCTAATTCTATAGAATTATAGAGTTCAGGATTCTATATCTGAGTCTAAAAGAAAGAAAAAATAAACAACTATATACTAAAAGGAAAATATTTTTTCCCCAAAACTGCTATTAAAAACAAGTATCAAGGGCAATTGGTCCTTATTAAATACTAAAAAATTTCTACCAAAACCTCCTATCATTTTTTTAGTCACCTATAAGGAATAATGAGATTTGCCTCACTTTTTTCCAAACAACCACATGGTTAACTCCAGAATTTGATTTCCCAGTTCCTTAAACAATTAAATATTTATTTACACAAATAATAAAATAAAACCTTACCTAAGCCATACAGAGCAATTTTTGTGGTTCCTTTTTGAAGCAAAACTGGACTAATGTCTATCTTCTCCACAGACATTGAACGTCCAAAGTGATTTACGAATCCAGCACAATTTAAAATATCCAGGGCACAGAGTGCGTCTGCCTATGTGAAATATTTTCAAATATTAATGTATATCTAAAAATAAGTAATCTGTATATCATATTATTACCTATTAAAAGTATACTCTATATACTAGTTACAAAAACACAGATTAGGATAATGTCTTCTGAAAACAAAATTACAATAATAGTAAAACTATTTGCTACCTTTTTTCTATTACAAATGACCTAGTGCACCTGGAATCACATGCTATATGGAAAGTTAATATTTCATCAAAACTTATCATGATGTCTTGGCCACTGCTAAATAAAAACTAGCCATGAAGTAAGTGCTTTGTGATATTAAGCAGACCTCTTAAGACATGGGGGAAAAAACTAGATAACTAGTGATTTATAATATTAATGACCAGATAAGACAAAAAGATATTTTGAGTTTAGGACCTCTATTACTACTTCCACACCAAACAGGTAATAAGATGACCTAATTTAGATTTAAAACTTTTCATGAAACAATCATTTCCTACAGGTAAGATTTTATGAGATAAAAGATACAGAAGCACTTGGTAAATTGTAAAGCATTATACAAATGTTGAGTGTTTATTCCTACTCCTAGGTACTTATGGTTAACCCCAGCGCTAATGAAATACAAGCATACCTCACATAACAATTATTATTTCAGATTTTAAAAAATCATCACAAAAGCAATATAAAGCTTATATGAATGACAAAAAGTCAATTTGACTTTCCGACTCAACTTGACTAAAAACCACTGGGAATAAGGGGAAGAATGCTTTCCACAGAAAAACTCAAGTGATCACTTCTAAAATTTCCACCAACTGTAAGAACCCAATAATTACCCCCGTGGGATCATCATGATTGCCATGAATACTAAACACTGGAATCGAAATGTTGAGATTGCCATCCTGGAAGTTCACCCACGGAAACCTTAAAAAAAAAAAAAAAAGTCAAAGTTTCTATAAGAGATAAAAGCTGTTCCCCCCAATATCCTCCCCACTAAAATTAATGCAATTATAGGCAAACTGGATGAACTAAGTTGGCAAATGACCACTAGTCTGGAGCTTTAAAAAAATAAAATCAGGGCCAGCCCCGGTGGCTCTGTGGTTAAGTTCCGAATGCTCCGCTTCGGCAGCCCCAGTTCGGTTCCCGGGCACAGACATACACCGTTGGTCAGTGGCCATGCTGCAGTGGCAGCCCACATACAAAATAGAGGAAGATTCGCAACAGATGTTAGCTCAGGGCGAATTTTCCTCAGGCAAAAAAATTTAAAAATTAAAAAAAAAAATCATAGGCAACAATTCATTTCAATTCAAGTCTGAAAATATCTCAAAGTACTACACCTTAAAGAAAACTCTACAATAAATGATGCTTCTGAATTATAAGAAAGAGTGTTGTATCTGATTGATGGAAAGTTACTAAGCTTTCAACATTTTAAAAGCCCTTGTATAAGGTTTTTTTTATTTGTAGGAGGGGGAGGGGAAGAAGCACACCCAATTTGGAATCCAAAAGACCTAGATTAAAAATTCCAGCTCTAACACTTACTACTTGTGCAACTTAGTCTCCCACCCACTTCTGCCCCTAGTCATCCAGCTCCTCTTCTCAGACGCAAATGATGTTAGCAATTTCTAGCGTATCTTTGCAAAAATATACCTGTACAAGCAAATAAATACATCTTCTTCCTTCTCACACAAATGGTATCACAATATAGATTTCTGCACCCTGCTTTTATCACCTAACATATTTTAGAAATCATTCCACATCAGTACACAAAGAGCTTTCTTGTGCTTTTTTTGGCTGGACAGTACTCCATTGTATGGATTATTATAATGTGTTTAAGTAGTTACCTAACCAATGGACATTTAGACTATTTCCAGTCTTGTTTTACAAACAATGCTACAGTGAGTAATCTTGCACCAAGTTGCCCTTGGTGAAAGGAAGACATCTAGAAGGGAATTATTGGGTCAAAGGGTATGCACGCATTTGTAAATTTGATAACTACTGCCAATTTCCCTCCACAGAGGTTGTACAAATTCACACATAATACAATGGCAATGCAAGAAATAGACCATTTCCGCTTACTCCACCAACATAATATGTTATCATGCTTTTAAATCTATGCCAGTAGTTCTAAATCCTAGCTGCATGTTTAAGAATTATTTAGGAGTCTTTTAAGATATACCAATGTCCATGACACACTCAGAGAGATTCACTGGCCTAGAGATTGGGTATCAGTACTTATTAAAATTCCTAGGTAACCATTATGTGCACCAAGGACCGAGAATCATTGATCTATGCCAATCTGATATGAGAAAAATATCTCAGAATTCTTCATTTTGCTTCTTTCTTACGAATGAGCTTCATTTTGTATCTTTCTTACGAATGAGCTTCATTTTGTATCTTTCATATTCTTTTAATACGTTTAAATGCCACTTTATTTCCTTTTCTGTGAACTGTCCATATTCTTTATCTATCTTTTTATTAACTGATGGATTTTTTTATTGACTTGAAAGAACTTTTTTTCTCTTGAGAAAATCAGACCTTAATTTGCAATGACCTGCGGATATTCATCCTGGTTGAACTCAGACTTTTGACTTTGCTTTGGGCAGTTTCTGCCATGCAGAAATTTACTTTTACAAACACAAACATATCCCTCTTTTTTTTTTTATAGCTTCTGGGTTTGTGTCACACTTAGAAAAGCCTTTTCCATATCTAGATTTTTTTTAAATGTCTAACAGTTTCTTCTCGTACTTTTATTGAATAATCCATATTTTTCCTGGAGTTATGAGACACCACCTTCATCTAATACTAAATTCCTACATGTATTAAGGCTATTTCTGGAACTTCTATACTCTTTCACTTTGCCTATCAATTCATAGAGTCATACCACATTTTTAATTATAGCAGTATTATAATATACTTTATTTTTTCCAGCTCTATTGTGACACGACTGACATATAGCCCTGTATAACTTTAAGGTGTACAATGTGTTGATCTGATATACTTTTGTATTTCAAAATAATAACCACTATAACTTAGCTAACATCTGCATCATGTCATATAATTACCATTTCTTTTTTGTAGTGAGAACATTTAAGATCTACTCTCCTAGCAACTTCCAAGTATAAATAAAATATTAACTATAATCACTATGCTATACATTAGAACCTCAGAACTTACTCATTTTATAAGTGAAAGTTTATACTCTGACCAACATCTCCCCTTTTCCCCCAACCTCCTGCCCCTGGTTACCAACATTCAGGTCTGCACTTCTATGAGTTCAGCTTTTTTAGACTCCATATATAAGTAATATCATACAGTATATGTCTCTCTTTGTCTGACATATTTCACTTAGCACAATGCCTTCAGGGTCCATCCATGTTGTCACAAATGGCAGGATGTCGTCCTTTCTCACGGCTGAATAATATTCCATTATGTATACATATACATACACACATACACACCCCATATCATCTTTATCCATTCTCACCTCAGCTGTTTCTGTATCTTGGCTATTGTGAATAATGCTGCAATGAACAGGGGAGTGCAGATTATCTCTTTGAGATTCTGTTTTCATTTCCTCTGGATATATACTCAAAAGTAGGATTGCTGGATCATATGGTAGTTCTGTTTAATTTTTTGTGGAACCTCTATACTGTTTTCTATAGTGGCTGAATCAATTTACATTCCCACCAACAGCGCAAAGAGTTCCTTTTTCTCCACATCCTCCCCAACACTTGTTCTCTCTTATCTTTTTGATGATAGCCATTCTAACAGGTGTGAGGTGATATCCCACTGTGGTTTTGATTTGCATTTCCCTGCTGATTAGTGACGTTGAGCACCTTTTCATGTACCTGTTGGCCATCTGTATGTCTTTCTGGAAAAATGTCTATTCAGTTCCTTTGCCCATTTTTCACTGGATTTTTTTTTTTTTTTGCTATTGAGTTGTATGAGTCCTTTATGTTTTGGATATTAAACTCTTATCAGATACATAATTTGCAAATATTTTCTCCCATTCTGTAGGTTGCCCCTTCATTTCGCTGATGGTTTCCTTTGCTGTGCAGAAGCTTTTTAACTGGATTTGATGTAGTCCCACTTTATATTTTTGCTTTTAGTCTCAAACTGAAAAAAATCATTGCCAAAACTAATGTCAAGGAGTTCACTCCCTATGTTTTCTTCTAAGAGTTCTATGGTTTCAGGTCTTACATTCAAGTTTTTAATCCATTTTGAGATGATTTTTGTAATGGTAGAAGTTGAGTCCAGCTTCATTCTTTTCATATGGCTGTTCAGTTTTCCCAGAGACTATTCTTCCCTCATTGTATATTCTTGCTTCCTCTGTCATAAATTAATTGATCAAATATGCATGGGTTTATTTCTGGGCTCTCTATTCTGTTCCATTGATCTGTGTCTATTTTTATGCTAATACTATACTGTTTTGAATATTATAGCTTTGTGAGATAGTTTGGAATCAGCCTCTAGCTTTGTCTTTCTTCTTTAAGATTGCTTTGGCTATTTGGGGTCTTTTGTTGTTCTATACAAATTTTAGGACTGTTTGTTCTATTTCTGTGAAAAATATCATTGGAATTTTGATAGCGATTGCATTGAACCTGTAGATTGCTTTGGGTAGTATGGACCTCTTAACAATACTAATTCTTCCAATCCACGAGCACAGAACATCTTTTCATTTATTTGTGTCTCCTTCAATTTCTTTCATCAATGTCTTATTAGTTTTCAGCGTACAGATCTTTCACCTCCTTGGTTAAATTCATTCCTACGGATTTTATTCTTTCCAATGCTATTTGTAAATGGGATTGTTTTCTTAATTTCTCTTTCTGATAGTTTGTTGTTAGTGTATAGAAACGCAACTGATTTTTTATGTTGATTTTGTATCCTGCAACTTTACTGAATTTGTTTATTAGTTATAACAGTTTTTTGGTGGGGTCTTCAGAGTTTTCTCTATATAATATCACGTCATCTGCAAATAGAGGCAATTTTTCTTCTTCCTTTCTGATTTGGATAACTTTTATTTCTTTTTCTTGACTAATTGCTCTGGCTAGAACTTCCAGTAGTATGTTGAATAAAAGTGGCTGAAGTGGGCCACTTGTTCCTTGTCTTGTTTCTGATCTTAGAAGAAAAGGTTTCAGCTTTTCACCACTGACAATGATGTTAGCTGTGGGCTTGTCTCATATGGCCTTTATTATGTTGAGGTACATTTCCTCTATACCCTGTTTGTTGAAAGTTTTTATCATGAAAGGATGTTAAATTTTGTCAAATGCTTTTTCGGCATCTATTAAGATGATCATGTGATTTTTACCCTTCACTTTGTTAATGTGGTATAGCATACTTTAATATCTAGTTGGGCTAGTTACTATTTAGTAGTCTTCTTTTTCACTTTCCTTATTTTTTTTTGTCTAGACTTTTCTGTACAAATTACTAAACTGGCAGGGGAAATTATCTAGAATGCAGCACAAAGAGATAAAGTTATGAGCAATATAAAAAAGAGGGTAAGAGATATGAATAATATTCAGATAGAGAAAGGATATGAAACAATGTTTGAAAATGTAATATATAAGAATTTCCCAAAATTGCTGAAAAAAATAATTCTCAGATTGAAATGCATGATGAAGCCCAAACAGAACTAAACAGGATAAATAGGATAAATAAATAGGATAAATAGAACTAAATCCACAGCTAAATATGTTATAGTAGGCCCGTGAAATGCTAAGGACAACGAAAAAAACTTAATAGTTACCTGAGTGTTTTCTTTATGCCAGTTACTACTCTAATCAATTTTCTTATTAACTCAACTACTCCTCACAACAACTCTGTAGGATTAGCACTATTCTTTTCCCATTTTATAATGAAGAAACTGAGACACAGCGGGCCTGGGATTTGAACTCAGTCTTGTATCAGAATCTGTGCTTTTGATTGCTATGTTATACTGCTTTTCCAACAACTAAAACAACAACAGACTCCTCAACAGCAACAAAAAATCAGAGTTTACCACTCACTGGCACTCAATGAAAAAGCTACTAAAAACTGTACTTCAGAAAAGAAGGAAACTGAATCTAGACAAAAGGAATGAAATACAAGAAGCAGCAACAGTGAGCAAAGAAATAGGTCAACATGTCTATAAGGAGTGGGTGGAGCAGTTTAAAAATAGTTTGCAGTTTAAAAATAGGATTAAAAAAAAGAAAACACTGACGTTCTAGATTTGAGCAGAAGATGGATAAAGACACTGATCAGAATTCTTAAAAACAAGGACATATATTAAAAATTACAGGAATCTTTTAAAATTCAATTCTATATTCAGCCAAACTACCAATCCAGAGTCAAGTTAAAAACGGCCATTTTCTTACATTCTTACATACAAAAATCTCAAAATTTCACCTCCCAATATAAACTCATTTTTAAAATATATATTTTATATATATACACACACACAAATAGATTAAAAAAATATGAATATGTGTTTTCATAGGTTGTTATACATACATGTATTTCTTAGCTCTGTGCACTGAGAGAGCCTAGAAGCAGGGATAAGACAACAGTAATGTGCATGCCTAGCGTCCAGATTTTGGCTTTCAAATACCATTCTCCAAAAGGAACCAGGGCTCCTTGAAGAAATGGATGAGTCTAAAGCCAGGGAAGTAAAAATACAAACCTAGCCTGGAGCATCTTACAATGCCAAAAAGTAACAAAGAGTGGGAAAATAGATGGGGATATATCAAAAGGACACAGGAGCCAATCTGAAAGAGCACCCAATGGCTAAAGCTAGAACAATTTATTTGAGCAATAAAATAGATTATGATAGTATCTGATTATAACCCAGAGGAAAAAAAATGAATTCATACTGATATAAACAATTGAATAAGTTCCTACTGATAGAGACAGTTGAATAAATAAATAAGTGGGGGACAAGGAACAAATCTTCCTTACAGAAGAATTCCAATTATAAAAGTAGAAAGAAAGTGGGAAATAGAAAATTACCATTAGAACATCACAGTTATAAGTGATGTAGGCAAGAGCCACGGATGCATGCTAAAATTAGTGGACAAACCTGGAGAAACAGAATAGTTGCATAGCCTCAAAATAGCTCCCCCAAAATATTTACTAATTACTTTTGTGGTTTTAACCTAACCACAAATTCTCTGATACTCCTTCCTCTCTCCAGGAAGTGAAACTTAATTTCCTTTCTTTGGGTGTGGGCTGGACTTAGCGACTCACTTCTAACAGTGTATGGAAAGGGAAAAATAGTAACTTGACAGTGAAGAAATCTGGCAGACACCACCTTAACCAAGAGATCAAGGTTAACTTCACCAGTGATAAGCCATGTGGATAACACATACTTCCAATATGCTATGAGAAAGGCACTTCACCTCTGTGGAATATTCTTCCGGGAAAACCATAATCCTAGTCTAATCATGAGAAAAACCAAAACTGAAGGGCATTCTACAAAATATCTGACCAGCATACTTCAGAAGTAGCAGGGTCATGAAAGACAGAGAAACTGGCATAGGCTGAAGGAGACTAAAAGAACATTTCAACTAAATGCAATGCGGCATCCTGTACAATGTTTAAGAAAAAACATGCAAGTATCTTTATGACATGGGGTTCTAGGTGGATATTGTAAATAAGTCCCAAAAGTACAAATCTTAAAGAAAAAGAATGATATATTTGACTACAACAAAATGAAATATTTCTGTCAATAAGAGGCCTCATAAACAAAGTCAAAAGACAATCCACTGATTGGGGAAAAAAATATATGCCTAACAAAGGCTTAGTATCTAGAATACATAAACAACTTCTGCAAATTCAGTAGGAAAAGACAAAAATCCCAATTTTTAAAATGGGCAAAGGATATGAACAAGAGGATACCAAAATGTACAATAAAAATCAAGAAGATACTCAGTCCCACTATTAATTAGGGAAACACAAATTAATACAATGATGTACAGAAAATTCAAAGAACTACATTTACTATGAAAATCACCTTAGTGAAGGTGAAATGGCTAATTGTTAATGTGTTTGTCTTATACAGAAAATATTATACACAAGGAAACATTCACGTAAGCACTTAAATATACTTACTTACTAAATCCAAAGTTGACTGACTGATCGCTGATAATTTCAAACTGTACAGGACGATCACCCATGCAATATTTTCTGAATAACTCGAGGCAGCTATGTAATGTTTTTCTTGAAGGTTTATTTTCATGAAAAAGATCACCACCTAACAAAATAAAATCCACCTAATCAACAAAAAAAGTGTTAAAATTAGTATGCTTTATAGGTAAACTCTGAGGAAATATCAAGGTTGAAGATATTAATTTGCAAGTCACCAGCATTTATGTTTATTCCCCAGCTCTCTCTTGGGCTCTAGACCGACATTTCAACTGCCTGCTGGAATGTTCCCCTGAACATCCTACTGGAATCTCCAACTCAAATGGTCTAAATCAGAATTTATCACCTTCCCACATAAAGAAGTACGTTATAAGTATGAAATAAGGAAGAAATCTTCCTTATTTAAAACTTATTTCTATTATTGGTACCACCATTCACCCAAACTTGCACACACTTCAGAGTCATGGTCATCCCCTTTTCCCTCATCCTCACCCCCTACAACTACCCAAAATACACAGATCCTATCTTTGTAATGTCTTGGAGTCACTTCATCTTTTCCATTCCATGCTACCACTTTAAAAACTCAAACTGATCTCTAATTCATGCTATATTCTGTTGCCAGATGGCTTTCTATTAAATTCGGTACAAACTCCTCAATGGCATTTGAAGTTCTCAGTGCGGCTCAAACTACATTTCTAGTCTTTCAGCATACTAACACATGACCTACCAGTGAGCCAAAGTGACCTGCTGTACCCCTAACATACCTCATATTGTCTCACCTCCGTGCCCTTTGTCCTGCTTCATGTGAGATGTACATTCTCTGTGCTCTTCACTCCTCAAAAGCCGACCCACCCTTCAAAGCCAAGTTAAAGCCCATCTCCCTCATTAAACTGTCTTGCTATCCTCATCTAAATGTGATCTCTTCTACCTCTAAACTCCCAGGAAATGCAGTTTATGACTTTCTTATGGCTCTTATCACATATGACCTTGCACCTGAGCATTTTGGACATTAGTCTTATCTCACATACTGGTTTGCTGCATGTTCTTTGAAAGTAGAAACTATGATGGTCATCTTTACATTTCAAATAGAAATTGCCACAGGATCCTGCATTCAGTAAACACTCCATAAATATTTGTAAATCTTTACAGACTATTTACAAAAGCAGCTCCTATTTAACTTAAGGGTATAAAGCACACAAAATCTGCTTTGGGCTTTTACTATATTAATATCTAAGCAGGCAATATGAGTTCATGGGCCTATAAAACAAATCTCTAACTTTAAAAAGGGAAAAGAGCCTGTTGAGTAAGGGAACATAGTAGAAACCGCAAAAACGTAAACCAAACTCACTTCATGTTCCTGGGCAAGTCTTAAAATTTCATCAAGTGTTACAAATGTATCATTTCCTCTGACTGCATCTTTCTCCATAAATCCCAGATGAATATCTGTTGCAACTAAGATTTTAAACGTATTTTCATCATCACTGTATTAAAAAAGAAGAAACATTTCAATATAATTCATTCAAAGGATTTTCAAGCAAAACCTAAATCTATAAAATAAATAATAGCAGTTATGGAGTAAAATCATTTTTCTAGCCTTAAACTAGGTCTGAAAATTTGAAGTATTCAACAGATCATTAACATCACAGTTTTCCTACCACTAATTCAACACAGAAAAAAATGTACCTACATCTTTAAAAGTTTCTGTAACTGCTTAAAAAATTTATAACCTTATTACAACCAGTTTTATACACTTATATGTAACCTAGATCTGAAAGCTTGGTTGTTTTCCTATTCTGCTCCACAGCAAAAATCCAAGAGGATTTAACCCCAATACCTAAACTTGCTATTTATCTATTTTATACTTTTCCAGAAAAATCAGAGTTAACGGGCTAATTTTAAAAGCCCTTCTTCTTACTTTATAAGTAGATTTTATCCTAATACACTAGTAACTTACCTTCAGGCCTAATGAAGACTCTTGCTTGACTTTACTCTCCATACAAAGTTAGTTTTTCATTAACAAATTTGGGCAAGTACCAAAACAGATTTACAACTCCATTTAAATGTGGTAGTATTCAAAAGCAATTTCATGTAAAGCAGCAATGTAATAGTTATTAATACTCTCTTAAACTTAATGTAACTTTTAACTTTCTTTAAAATATTTTGGTATCTGATTTCATCTCAACTCCCATATGTGAATAGGTAAGTATCATTACCTCTGGAAAATGAGAAGGCTCAACACAGAGAAATTAACTGATTTATCACACAACAAAGTAGTAGAAACAGGACTAAAACCCAGGATTAAAACTCAGGCTGTTTTCACTAACCTATAATCAACTTACACAAAAAAACTTTTATATATATCTCCAAAATTCAAATTTTTTTTTTAATTTTTTGTTTATTGCAGTAATATTGGTTTATAACATTGTATAAATTTTAGGTGTACATCATTATACTTCTATTTCTGCATAGATTACATCATGTTCACCATCCAAATACTAATTACAACCCATCACCACACACATGTGCCGAATTATCCCTTTAACCCTCCTCCCTCCCCCCTTCCCCTCTGGTAACCACCAATCCAATCTCTGTCTCTACGTGTTTGTTTATTGTTGTTATTATCTACTACTTAATGAAGGAAATCATACGGTATTTGACCTTCTCCCTCTGACTTATTTCACTTTGCATAATACCCTCAGTGTCCATCCATGTTGTCACAAATGGCTGTATTTCATCGTTTCTTATGGCTGAGTAGTATTCCGTTGTGTATATATAACACTTTATACACGAGAGAATTTTCCAGCAAAGATTTCTCTTCAGAAACTTCAAAAATGATATGCACACAGTTCTGATTACTAAAAACACATAGGTAGGTCAGAATACTTTCAGATCACATTACTACTCTATGCTTCCATAGCAATTTGTAAAGTATTTTCACATGAATTCGCTCATTTAAACATGAAAACTAATCTGAGAAAGTAATTTTTAATTCAATTACAAATGAAGAAATTGAGGCAAGTTTCAGAGAATTGCTAACTTGCCCAAGCCACAGAGTATTAATCAAGGAATTGAAACCAGGGCGAAGGACTCCAAGTTTAAACCTTTTTCCACATAACTTTTTCTAGTCCTTTTATTTATTTTCATGTCAGTGAAATTGATTTCCAATTTATTCGAATACTAAAGCAACATACTCCTCTAAAAATCTGCTTAAACAGACGCGTTAGTTTGTAAGACTTAGTCATGAAAGTTCAAGAATCTTTATAGCGTCAATATTTTAAGACAAAACCTAAGAACATAAACTTATGTACTATAGCAATATACCAAATCACCGCAAGACCCCAATCTATAGCTGCATATTATCTTTTAGTTAATAAACATACCATATGAATTTTTAAACATTCCTAATATTCTTTTTGATGACTAACACTTCTGTTCATAGGCAAGCTCTTAATTTACTGCGAATTTATTAAATAAGTTTTTTATGGTGATCATAGTTAATGGGCTGTAGTAACTCAAAGCAACAAAGAAGAATCCAGAAGACAGGTGCTTACAGGGCATCTGCAGTACTCATTTCTACGGTCTGTCCAGCTCCTCCAGTACCAGTTTTCTCTCCAAGTACCCCTGGGTCCTGTGCTCAAATGTGTCAGAAAACTCACTCAATTCCAAATTCTAGAAACAAAATTACATTATTATAAAACACATTTTTAAAAAGCAAACTGACAATTTTGGAAAAGAGTCTCGTTTCATCTAAGCACCTACTATACTTTTATTTTTTAGGAACTAGGAATAGAAAATAGCATATCTCTAGTGCCTTCCAGTTTCACCACTATAATTAAGTTCATCTCCTATTTCCGTTTTCCATGTCCTATGGGAAACTAATGTTTGTAAAATGAATGGGAAAAAGGGTCACATACAGTAGTTCTGGTTTAGCATACGAACAAGTCTGGATATGCAGAAATGTTTAAATTGCACGCATAGGCTACTCTAGAGCGTGGAGGCGACCCCGTACTTCCTGCTCCAACACAAGATGTCTTTAAGGAATGGGAGGGCTTGTTTTGGAAAAGGAAGGGTCCCACGTTAAAGCTAATGAAAAAAACAGAAACACGTGGTCTGCGGAGAAACCTTCAGGCGCCAGCAGAACCAGTGATAATGGTCAGAATACTTGGGGAGAAACGGCAGGCACCGCGAAATGACCCCTCCCACGTCCAGATTCCTGGTTTCGTGGAGATCCCAAACCTCAACAAGCCCTCACCACCCGACTCTTTGCAGCCGGAACGCTGGACCCTCCAGGACTCCTCCCCGGCCCACTCGGCCCATTTTTCCCAAAGGGTCAATTCCACTCTGGGCTTCCCGCCCAGGATCCTGCAGATAAAGGAGGCCGGTACGATTCCTAAACTACCCCCCACCTGGACTCTCCACAGCCCACCCTGGGGACCCGAGTCTGTCTTTTACCCAGGATGAAGGAGCGACACTCGTGAGAAGAATAGCAACAGCACGGCCTGAGATTGCCTGGGAGAAACCGCTTGACCGTAAACATGAATTAGCCGGGAGAGAAAAGCAGCTCTTCCTCTCGCGATACCTCACTGAGGACGTAGGCGCCTCAAGTCCACTTTGGCTCTCATTGGCTGCCGAATGCAGTGAGGGCGCTGGGAAAGCGGCGGTGAGGCCCCGCCCTCATACCGGAGCCAATCCTGAGCCGCCGAGAGGACGAACCCCGGGAGCGAGGTTCGCGTCGGCGATTTTCCTGTCTATAGGTGGGTGGCTCTACCTTGTCCCGGAGCACGCTTTCTGGTCGCCTCGTGTCACTTAAGAACTCCTGGGCCCATAGGAACGGGTCATCTGTCGGCCCTGGCCGAACCCTGCAGGTCGGGCCACGTCGTGGGTCCTAGGTAGGGCTGGAGCGGCTTCTCAGCTCTTGGCTGTTTGCAAGGCCGGAGGCGTGACTCCGGGGCCTGTGGAGTGACCGGCGGGTGCCGGAGGGCCGGGACGGGGGACCTTCTTTCTCATTCCCATTCCCCTGTGATGGAGCATTCGCATCCTCTAGTTTACAAGCCTTTGCCTGCTTTCCCTTATTGTTGCCCTGGCTCCCAGGTTCAGCACATCTGTATTGCTTTGTGCTGATAGCAGTAAAATATAGTGCAGTAAAAAAATAATGTGAAACTTTTGAATTAGCAATCTGGGCTTTCAGTTGCATTGAAGGGTCCTAGATCTCGAGTAAGTTGTTGTAGTCTATTCGAAGCTCAGGACCTTCACCTGTAAAATGGGGTTTATGGCCTCACCTGTCACTGAGTTGTTTGTGAGAAGTTGACGTAGTTAAGATACCTCTCAAAATGGAATGTGTCCTTTAAGAAACATACCCTATTTATTCCTAGTGAAATATCATCAAGTAAGAATGTTGATAGACTTTTTAAATCCTCAATGAGGGCCATGAACCTGGGTTTGACTTTTTATTTATTTTTTTTCTTTTTTTGTGAGGAAGATCAGCCCTGAGCTAACATCCCTGCTAATCCTCTTTTTTTTTTGCTGAGGAAGACCAGCTCTGCGCTAACATCTATTGCCAGTCCTCCTCCTTTTTTTCCCCCAAAGCCCCAGCAGATAGTTGTATGTCATAGTTGCATGTCCTTCTAGTTGCTGTATGTGGGACACGGCCTCAGCATGGCCGGAGAAGCAGTGCGTCGGTGCGCGTCTGGGATCCGAACCTGGGCTGCCAGTAGCGGAGCGCACGCACTTAACCACTAAGCCACGGGGCTGGCCGTGGGTTTGACTTTTTAAATTAAATCCACCATGAAAATTTTATATGTTATTTATTGTATCTGGTGCAGTATATTCAAAATTTGTAAAAGGGGGGGGCGTAAGATCTGTGCTGTAATGTTACTGTATTTGGTATAATTAACAAGTGAACTTAACGTTATTTACCAATATTAAGTGTTTAATGAATTGATGTATGATCACTTTTGTGTTGAGAGGTTCAGGGAATAGTTTGAGAATAAAGAAAAACGTGAGAAAAAGCAATCCTGATAGGGTCTCGCGATAGACTCTGAAAAGCTGGACAGGCCTCGGAAATCCTTTTGTACAAAACTTACATTTTACCATGAAGTAACAGGCCCAGAGAAGGTAATAGTCATGAGTGATAGATTTAAACTTGAGTTTAATGCTCTTGGCACTAATAGCCAACTAATAGCTGCCTTAGGATTGTATACTATTAAACTCATGAAATTAGGTAGAAAGAAATCAGTATCTTAGGGGTATGACTAACTCTTGAACTTTTCAGAATGCATACCAGGCAAAATCAAGTGCTAGGACTTTAATTAAATTTAATTCTACAAATACATCTTAATATCTACTGTATGTAAGTAGGACATAGTGTAAGTTAAATATAGTCTCTATCTTTAAGCTTATAATCTCTTAAGAGGCTAAAACAAGAACAAAATTAGTAGTGAAGTAAGATAATATGTAGCACAAAAACAGTAGAAACTAGAGAGAGATCTAATTTGGAAGATCAAGAAAGACTTAATGAAAGAGGTAACATCTGAGAAGAGCCTTGAAAGAATAATAAGATTTTAACAAATATAGTTGGAACGCTGAGAAATGGTATTTTTTAAATATCTATTGTTCTCATTTTCTTTAATGGGTTAAAGTTTAATATGCTGTGTAACTCTTTAAGCTGATAATGGTTAATAAATTAATATGGCAGTCTAGCAGAATAAACATCACTTCCTTCAGGAAGCCTTCTCTCATCCCTTAGGACTGAGTTAATTATGACCCTCCCGTACACTCATTGTCTCTGGACATACCTATCATAGCACTTATCAGGCTGTCTTTGCCAGTCACCCCAACTAGACAGTAAGCTTACTGAGGTTAAGACAGGGATCTTGTTCATTATTGAATCCCAGTACCCAGAGACTGCACATACGAGGCATTCTATTGATATTTGTTGAATGAAGGAGTGAATGACAGCCAAAATTCAGTTTCAAAACAAGAGGCCAACTAAGAACTATAGTTGTCTATCGATGAATAGGACTACTTTTTAAAGCAGTGAATTTTCCTAAGCCTGAAGTTATTAAAGTAGAAATAGGATAATTATTACAGATGTCATGATAAAGATATCTGCATTGATGAGAGATTAGGACAGATGTCCTTTGGGGGCTATTCCATCTCTAAGAATCCCTGATTCAAGTAGTTTTTTAGGAACTAGAAATTTTTGTTTCTGCTCTATAGCATCTGTGTGTCTAGTTTATAAAAATCATGAATGTGCCTGTCTTTATTGTATTAGTTGTAATTTAAAAGCTTCAAGCACTTATCACAATTAGCGTAATACAATAGTATCTGAACCAATAGATTCAAAATAAATACAGTTTGAACTATTGACTTAGTAGAAGAAAAAACAAAAAAGTAAGGCGTATTAGACCATTAAAGATATAGGTAACTGAAATCTATCAGCTCCAATATTTAGTGAATGTAAAAGGTGTCAGTAAACACCAAAGAGGTTAGACAGAGTTTGTGTATGTTTGCAAAACTTACCTATGCTGTTGATAGAGCCTCAATTACTGTTTTGCTAATAATTTTTGTTTGTGTTTTCAGATCTTGATGAATAAAATAAAGCAGACATAATTCATCTCTTGAAAGATTATTTATACGCTGGCATTTGAAATGCTTTGTATTTAGAATAGTAGTAAAAATGGAAAAAGAGAAAGTAAATGATGATGGAAAACCAGACCCAGAGAATTCCTTGGACTTTTCTGAACACTTTAACCAACTTGAATTGTTGGAAACACATAGACACCTTATTCCCACTGGTACCCAAAGTCTCTGGGAAGAGAATTCTGATGAAGATGAACAAGATGAAAAAACTGAAGAGTGGTATCAATTGCAAGAAAAAAAAATGGGAAAAGATCCAAGCAAATTGCTTCTTTGGGCTGCTGAAAAGAATCGGGTAAAAAAAAAAAAAAATTAAAGAGGAAACCATCGTATAATAGGAAGAGTATTAGATTCGGAGCCAAAAGACCTGTCCCTGAACCTCTATTTGGTCTGTGACTTTGGGCAAATCCTACCATCTCTGAACCTCTATTTTCTTATCTGTAAAAATGGCCACCATAATACCTGCCTATTTTATACAGGGTTTTGAAGATCAAATGAGGCAATGTACCTGAAAGTATATAGTAAGCTACAAAGTGTCATATTAGGTATTTTGGGGGGGCTTTAAGGATAATTAACTAAAGATAGCAAGCAATCATCTATATTTTTAAAGCATTTGTATTAAGTCATTAGGATCGTCCTAGAGACAAGTATCATTTAGAGAAGGGAGGATGGGAATTAACGTTTATTGAATACCAACTATACTGTGTGCCTTTCTACATTATTTGATTTAATCCTTGTATATGCCTGTAAAATAGGTAATATTCTTCCCTTTTACAGATTAAGAAATTGAGGTTCAGGAATATTTATTTTTTCCAGGATCATCCAAGTAGGATGGTCCTACTTAATATCATTTAACTAAGTTCCCCCATCTCTGTGTTAGTAAACTAATAACTAAAAAGGTCTTACAGTTTTGGATAACTTTTTAACACAAGAGCATACTTCATCCTACCAGAGGTCCATAGACCAAACTGAAAATCACTTCCTGAAAACGTGTGTCTGAGGTTGTTTTAGTTAGAGGAATTGAGTTCTTTAATCTCCAGATTTCCTTGTTACCATTGTATTCTTCTGATAAAGAAGTTTATTTTTTAAAGTTTTATACACTATATTGGTGTGATAATCCTACTACAGAAAAATCAATCTATTATTATGTTTTCACAGATGAAATATAAAATATTAAATACAATTACAGCATGTATTATTCATCTAGGGCTACAGCTTTTGTGCAATAAGCCTTACTTGGACTAGGAGTAAATGTATGGTTTGATATTCAGAGAATCACATTCTTAGAATCAACAGTTTATGGTTAACACTAACTTCTTCATTTTTAAATCAGTTGCCCTCTGCCCCCACAAAAAGAAATCTTAAATAATTTTCATTTGAAAGTCATCTGCTAACAAGTTTTTATTTAACTTAATTAAATCTAACACCACTAGACAGTTTAATTTTCTTTGTTTACTGTTTAATTTTGAGTTGGCTTTTTTTTCTTTCAGCTTGCTACAGTGCAGAGACTACTTTCTGAAAAGGCCACTCATGTGAACACTAGAGATGAAGATGAGTATACCCCTCTTCATCGAGCAGCCTATGGTGGACACTTAGATGTTGTCCGCGAGCTGGTTGCACAAGGGGCAGACGTTCATGCGGTGACCGTGGATGGCTGGACACCCCTGCATAGTGCTTGTAAGTGGAATAATACCAGAGTGGCTTCTTTCTTACTTCAGCATGATGCAGATATCAATGCCCAGACAAAAGGCCTCTTGACCCCCTTACACCTTGCTGCTGGGAACAGAGACAGCAAAGATACTCTAGAACTCCTCCTCATGAACCGCTACATCAAACCAGGTCTGAAAAACAACTTGGAAGAAACTGCATTTGATATCGCCAGGAGGACGAGTATCTATCACTACCTCTTTGAAATTGTAGAAGGCTGCACAAATTCTTCACCTCAGTCTTAATGCTTCTAATAATTTTCTTAAGTTTCTGATTACCAGTGCCTCCTTTGTGTGAGATGTGAAATAATCCCCATAATACAAAGCTGACATCAAACGTCTTACTACAGAAAATCAGTGGAAATTCATTATAATATCCTTCCAAGTGAATTGCTTGACCTTGATGTCAAAATATATTTGCAAATTTTTTCGATATATCTTTAATGATTTCTGTAGAGTTTGTGATTTTTATCAGAAATAATTTTAACTTACCTATACTTAAAAACTTATCACGGGTTGTACAGAAAACTAACGGTATTTTTGGTGCTGATCCAAGAGAAATGTATTTTTAAATATCCCCCATCTTGGATCTTTGTTGAGTATTTAGTATATTGATATGTATTTTTATAAGGTAAGGTAACTCAGAATTTAATTTAAAAGTCTTATTTATACTGGTGCAGTTCAGCTGTCTTCTCTGTATTACCATAGCCTTTTGCTTTCATTTTAAACCATAACAACTAACACGTTAGTGACTTGAATCTTCATAAATTAAAGAAACATCAAGAAACCTAGATCTTTGTCTTTTAGAACCTAGACCATTTTCGGAAAGTAGTTAGCTAGGTGTTCAAGCCATGAATGTTATATACTGTTATATACCTCCCCTGCCACAATTCACACAATCCTGTGGACCGTCCTACCTCACCCTGGTCAACCTACACAATCCTTATTCTACTGAGGAGTCAACATGACCTTTTAGACATGCGCACAACTATTCCTTGATCCAAGAGATCATAATATGTCTGCTATCCAGCTAGTTTTACCTGCCTAATCCTGCTGATTTGGGCACTTTTCAGTCGCTCAAGTTCACAGGAAATGTTGATTTCCCAGGGTCTTCATTTTATACAAACCATACAAAGGCAAAATGACAAGGGAAACAGAATTCTAAGAGTGAGGGGATGATTATTATATTGGGGTTAGAATCACAAAGTGGCTCAGGCTTTTTTAAAAAGCCACAGTGTGGGTAGTGACAAAAGCATAAATATTCAAAAAAAATAAAAGTTTTGAACAACAAAAAAAAGCATGAATTCTTTTTTTACCTGTGTATATCTTCCTTGGATCCCTAATATGTTTATTCATCCAACATATATTTATTTAGTATCTCTCTCCCAGTCTCTCCAGCAGCACTTTCCTATAGACTACCTAGCCCCCTATGACTACTCCCCAAGGATTTTCTCTTCTCATCACCAGAGCTAACACACTAGAGAAAGGGAACTAAACCAATGGCCCTTTTCTTCAGTTTTATTTTTTAAATGTCCACCAAGCTTTATCTCTTGATCCAGCCTATGTGACCCAATCACCCTAGACTAAGTAATAATGTTATTTAATCAAATGTGTGGTGGTTTTTAGGTTAGAACAAATTGGATCATCTCAGAAAAGTTGAAAGATAATATATGAACTGAATCATTGTGACAAGCTCTCAAGAGTTAGGAGAGCTTCAATTATTTTGTGATCTCTGGCTAGAAGATATCTCAGTTTCAGCGTATCAATATCTATGACACAAGGGTTTTGGCAGAAAGTGAGGGATTGCTTTCTGTTTAATCTGGCACAGTTTAGTGATACGAAATGACAGGTACAGCTGATAGACAGTGAGGGTAGGATAGGACCCCATCTATCCCAGTAGACTACTAGTTATCTGAAAGTCACAGAGCCCGTGGCTCCTGTCTTACTTGGGAATGAGTTGCATCCGTGATTTTAAGAAGCTTCCCACGTAAGTATGGGGCCAAAGAAGCCACCTTATTTCTGATAAGGCGCTGAGATGGGACTACTCCCTTGTTTTCAGGCCTCAACACTCAACCAGTGCTAGGGAGCAAACTTTACATATAAGAAAAATCTCTCATCCCTGAGGGCAGAATTTGTATTGTTTGCTTCCTTTATACTTTCCTTAGTATTTACTAGCCTCTGTGCACAGAAGGCACTCACTAATTGTGCTTTTGACTATATTACTTAGCTGTACTTCCCAGTTTGCTTTAAAAGGCTAAATACCTCAGTTTGCAAGCAAAATTTTCTCTAATGTTATAGAGTTTATCCAAAGATTTATTTTAAAATAAATTCTATGTTTTTCATAAGTAAAGGCTTAATTGTAATTAACTTATATGCTTGAGAAGAGCTAACTTTTTGTCATTATTCAAAGGACACATCATACGTCATAGGCCTACAGTGAAATTGGTTGGCTTTGCTTTTAGAAATCTTAAATACTTGTTCAAGGAGCTTTCTGGCCCATAACCTACCACAGTGATGGGATTTAGAGTCTTTATACTATGGATGTGAAAGCATCCGTTTCTTTCTTTTCTTTGGCATCTATTGTTGCATCCACCACTGTGCTAGAAGATCATGATCAGAAGAGGCCCAGAGACGTGACACTTGCTCTGAGACTTATGCCCCGTGCCAAAATGAAACCTCTGGATCAATTCTTGATTCCTAATCAACACATATACCATCTTCACCCTACCTGAAATGGCTCTAGGAATTTATAGAACTGCTTTGGGTCAGGAAGTTGCGAAATATGATCACAAAATCATTGATTATGCCCTTACTCTAATTAGTTTATCATGGGATGTTCTAGTCCCTCTAGGATTACCAGATGACAATTCAACTTGTGCAATATGAAGTGCTTTCTCTAAAGGGAATTTAAGATCTATGTTTACTAAGTTCAGAAATGCTCTTCTTGTTTTAGGTTTTGTATCCTTGAAGATCCCAAAGCTCTCCCTTTATATTCCTATAGTTCTCTGTCATGACTTTCCAGTAAAATATGCAGCATAGAGCTTCTTTCAAGAATCCGAACACCTCCACCCTTAGAAAAAATGGCTATCCCATCTTCAAAGTTCCCTGTCAGGTGTCAAAGGTCTCTAACAGAAGAAAAAACTCATGGAATAAGCGAAATAAAGCAAAAGAATTTCAGCAAATAATTACAAAGACTTGAAGGAAATGAGATTCTGAAAGAAAATGTGTTTCCAGAGTGGATCCAGGGCCTTGAAAATAAGAATACCTTATCACTCATTCTACATGCAGCTTCCTGATGCCTGTCAAATGAGTTCTTTAAATTCATACCTAATTTTTTCCTTTTCAGGATGGGTCTTGTTAGCACTGAGCAAGTGGAATAAAAACACAAAACATTCATTTTTGGTTTATCACTTTAATTATCTGATCGAAACTCAGGTACATCTAATAGTTCTGACTACGGATTTAATGACATTGCCACGTCCACCAGAGGATCTCAGAGTAGCAGGATTTGTAGGCCAGAAAATCTGCTCTATGAAATAAATAGCTTATATAAATCTAAAAGCAAACTGCTACCTAGTTTGTTTTCTTCTTTTGCTATTATAGTATATTCAGCATTTCCCCTCTACTAGATGTACAGTACTTGAAAATTAGAAAAACATCATTGGAGAATTAATATGAGTTCATAAGGAGCACTGTCTCCTGAGCAGTCATTAGAGTTCCGTTTTCAGATAACAGCTGCCACAAACAGAGGCGATTTTTAGCAACCAAAAAAATGAGAAAGTGAGCCTGCCATCATTAAAAAAAATCAGGTGCCTATCAGGTTTTTCCAAACTGCAATTTAATAACTCATGAAGAAAACATGTCCTGATTGAAGGGACCAACTCTAGAACCAAGACATAGCTCTGCTGTGAGAATCACGTTAAGACCTGATACAGAATCAGATCCTTCAGGATACGTAGCAGAAAACACTCGAGTTCACATTCACTTTCATGTGTTTTTGTGTATTTCTTATACACAAAGCTTATAAAAAGACTCAAAAGGAAGAAAGAGATTAGGGTCCTTTCATCCATTCTTCTGATTTTAGTCTTCACCCTTAGAAAAAGAGGAGGTTTTGGAGTCCATCTAGAAAGGTAATTGTATGTCAGGGTTTCTCACACTATTGACATTGGAGCCAACTAGTTCTTTGTTGTGGGGGCAACCTGTGCAGTGTACAATCCCGAGCAGCGCTTTTGGCCTTTACTTACTAGATGCCCGCGGGCACCTCCACCTCCCCCTCCCCAGTTGCAACAACTGAAAATGTCTCCAGACATTGCCAAATGTTTCCTGCTGTCTATCATCAAAAATCTCTAAGACAGGAAATTTCATAATTTGGCTAACCTCAAAGTTGGTTTATTAGCATACAATTAAATTTTATTGAAAGTGCATGCTTTCCTTAGATTCCAAATATTCATCAGTGTACATTCGAAAATTGGATAATCATTGATTCTATTTTAAATTTTAGTATTTTATGAGATCATTTAAATATATTTAAAAAATGGGCTAAAACGTACAATTAGAAACAAACAATTGTATGTAGAAAACATACAATTAGAATACAACTCTTCAATACTGAGTGTCATTTGTCAGAAAAATTCACTTCCTACTCCAAGGTTTGACCTCTAGGAAATTTACTCTTTAGGTCAGATGAGTTTATTTTTAGATTCTAACTTCCTGGTATTAATGGAGATGATAATCAAATCCTCATTTTTAATAGGTTGCACCATTACAAATGTAATTTTTTTATTGCATTGCTGAATAAAATGCTATAGTAGTCCGCCCGTATCTGCGGTTTCACTTTCCGAGGTTGCACTTACTTGCAGTCAACCCCGGTCAGAAAACATTAAATGTGAAATTTTAGAAATAGGCAACTCATAAATTTTAAATTGACACTGTCCTGAGTAGCTTGATGAAATCTCGGGCAGTTCCACTCAGTCCTGCCCGGATGCTAAACATCCCTTTGTCCAGCATGTCCAAGTTGTCTACACTAACCACCCGTTTGTCACTTAGTAGCCATCTGGGTTTTGGATGACTGTCCCAGTATGGCAGTGCTTGTGTTCAAGTAACCCTTAGTTTACTTAATAATGACCCCAAAGCAAAAGAGTAGTGATGCTGGCAATTCGGATATGCCAAAGAAAAGCCTTCAAGTGCTTCCTTTAATTGAAAAGGTAGAAGTTTTTGACTTAATAAGGAAAGAAAAAAATTGTATGCCAAGTTAGCTAAGATCTATGATAACTTTTACTACAGTATATTGTTATAGTTGTTCTATTTTATCATTAGTTATTGTTGTTAATCTCTTACCATGCCTAATTTATAAATTAAACCTTATCATAGGTATATATGTATAGGAAAAAACATAGGATATATAGGGTTCAGGGATATAATATATCCACAGTTTCAGGCATCCACTGGGGGTCTTGGAACATATTCCCCAGGGATAAGGGGGGACTACTGCATTAAGTTGAAACAGGCTTTTTACTTCTGGAAGAAAAGGGATAAGAGTAGTCAACAACCTCTGTCAGAGAAGAATGAAATGGGGAGGGAGCTAGCAGGTTCCAGGTGGAAACAACTGGGAAAATAGAAGATATTCTCTTAATGTCATTACAGATCTAGAATTCTTTTAGTTTGTTATTTAAATATAAAAATAATATGGTATAATTTATTTTGGCAATTACTTTAACTATAAAAATTAATTCCAACATGAAATATATCAAAATCAAAATGTAAAAAAACAGCCTACCTCTGTTTATCAGCCTTCCCCAATTATCCTTTCTGTAATGCAAGAATGAAATAGTCGCATCTGATTTTGTTTATGACAGTTCTTATATATCCAAGATGTGACACACCAACCACTGTGATAATATTAGCAGCTAACAATTGAGCTTCCTGTGTGCCAGCTGTGCTGTAGGTGCTCACATATGTTATCTCATGTGAGCCTCACAATAACCCTGTGAGGCAGATGCCATGTATAATGAGGAAATTGGGCTTAGGGAGGTTATTGTCCATTGTCATCAACTAAGTTTCCAGAAAGCTCGCGTTCGAATATTATAGCTTTTCACTTGTGGTGTTCTTGAATGTTAATATCCATGTACCACCAGTTAGTCTATCAAATAATCATAACAAAAATTCCATTTTCTTTAATATTTATTATGTATTTTATTTATGGTAGTGTTTGAGGACATAAAAATTACCATTATAAGGAGCAAATTGCATTTATGGCATAAAACGTAAGCAAAAATTCCATTAAATCATA